TTTTATATATTTCAATAATACGCTATGAGAAAAACAGCAATTTGAATGAAGATTTTAGTCTCGTTTTATAAGATACTGGGATCTTATATCGAGATTATCCGTCGCCTACATCACAATAAAAAAAAATCGTATCATCAATTTACGAATAAATAACACTCGAATATCGTTAGTTATTTGTGGGGCATATATGTATCTCATGCTGAAATACGGACAATTATTCCAAAGAGAGAAACTACGCGAATTCTCCACATAACCGTTTAGGACATACAACCGCATTGCAATTGAAAAAAATATAGCGGGGATATGCAAAAATACCACTTCGGAACAATTATACAAAGGATCAAAGTAGATAAATACCCTTACGAGAAATAATAGCCTTCAAACCTCTGATAAATCCCCATAAAATATTTTGCTCCTGCATGTGAACCTCAAAAATATACGCACTGTAACTTCAACATGACGCCGTGCGAAATATACCCTAACCGTACCACATTTATTTATTTACTAGTGCAGGACATTTCAAGCATGATCATGAAAGTTAAAATTTGACCAAGTTACTCTAGAAAGAAGAGAAATAGATGCTGGTTTTCCCAATCACGCAATTAATAGAATTAATAGACATCAGAAGGAATTGGTACGACTGCAGCGGTACTGATGAGATCAATTTTGTCAATCAGAACTATAGCAATTAATCATACAGGTGAATTGATGAAATAGGATCTCATATAAAAGCAACACAGAGCATTTGTCTTAGTTCGATTAGTAAGCTATCGATCAGTTTTGTAGTGACTTCATATCAGAAACGTCGATAATTTGGGCGTCATGTTTTCAGGAATATTCCCCATCCTAAATGTAGTATTCCGATTATTCCGTGTTATTTAATTAGATACTAGAAATATTTTGGACTTGCCTGTGTATCACGAAGCTCAATGGACTAGTAGAAAACACAATTCGTACATGACTCACGCAATGTTCATTCTTTAAGCGGGTTACTTGAACGTTCAGTCTGGGTTATTTAGTTTATAAGATTTTGCTATACAATCGAAAGCCTTTTATGATCGAAGCTCTAGAGTTCTAGGCCCTGCAATTGAATTGTATAAATCACACAACCTTATTGTTTAAGATGAATGTTACGTGCACTAACGATGTAACATAAAACTAACATGGAGCTCTTTTTTAGATTTATTCACCGGGGGGGCTTTATGCTGGTCATTTATGGGGTTCCTGAAGATGTTTCACTTGAACCCTGCTGTTAAAAGATAAAACCTGCTATTATTTTTTAACAAATACCCTGCGGAATATTTGAATGACTGCAATATGTTATTTTTGGGGTCGGGTAATTCTGCATAATTTAGGGAAAGTTGCAACAACCTTCAGCAATACATCTTTCATGAGACTGATAAATATTGTTCCTATATATTACTCTTCAACATGAGAAGGAAATATAATATATATGTTAATGAGCAAAATATTAGAAAATGTTGTAATAATATTGAATTTAATTTTAAAGAGAATTTTACTTTTTTTGAGAAAGTTGTAAATTTTGAAGTGATAATTAATTTCTGATCTTATAATAGAGGCTAAGAAATTACCTTGTACACTGTATACAAATCTATGACCAAAGTAAAGTAAGCCATTGCAAACCTTTTAATGGTTCCAAAGGAGGTTCAGGGTTCTCTTCATAATCTGCGAATAAGCTTGTTAAGTCTACATCTTCAGGCATTATTAATTTTGTTCCTTTGAAAAATTTCCAGAAGACATATAATACCGCGAATAAGGGAATCACGAAATATGAACTGAAAAATGATGATATCTCAAAATTACCATACAAAAAATTGGAGAACCCACTTGTGAGCAATATTAAACCTGAAAAAAATAAGGAAATCCATGCCGCTTGAGGGGCATACTTAAATGTATACGGGAGTTGCTCTCTTTTGTAACCTTGTACTTTCATCGCTTTGGTCAAAAATATATGGTTAAGGGAGATCGAACACCAACCTAGAAGTAAATTCGAGGAGGTGATATTCTGGAACCACAGGAAAACTGTCGATGAGCTTGCCGAACTTGACATATATGCCAATGGAATAAATAAAGATACAGTTATAACTCCAAAATATGGGAGACCCTTTTTATTTGTTTTAAGAAATATGCTTGGTGCTTGTTTCTTCGAAGCCAATGCAAATAATGATCTTGAACCTTGAATAATCGATAAATTGGCTGCAGAGAAAGCAGATGTCAAAACCACGGCATTTATGACGTGAGGTAATCCTTTTATTCCTGCTCTTTTAATGGCAATTACAAAAGGTGAACCAGATGCATTACCTGTAGATGATACTATGTTGGATCTTTTGAAGAAAGAACTAAAGTTAAAACAAACACTATGAAAAAATATAATGTAAAAACTCGAACAACTAAATTTGGTCAGTATGATGTATTAAAAAAGATTCATTTTGGTAATGCAGTAATAAGTGAATATACATACGAATTCTTTTTGCAGCTGTAAAAATGCTTCGACGAGGATTCTGGGTTTCACCTCCATATAAACTAATGGTTTGAATACCTCCATAAGAATAAACTACGCCGGAGACGCATTTCCAGAACGCTAGAAATCGACCTAATGAACCCGTGCTATAATATTCATTCCAAGGAGTTTCTTTCCAATATCTAAAGCCTAATCTTTCTTGTCCTTTGGCACCACCTAAATCGATAATCAAACAAGCGAGGAACAATCCAACGATCAATAAAACCTTAAGAATTCCAAGGTAAAATTCTACTTCACCATAGAACCTGACACTATAAGAATTTGTGGCAATAATTATGATTCCAAATATAGAAATCCAAAGTGCCGAATTAATATCTGTCCAATAAGTCATTACAACTGCTGTTGCTGCTAACTCAGATGGGACGATGGCTGCATAAATATTAATCCAACCTAAAGCAAAGCCTAATGCTTCATCAATAAATTGTTCTGAATGCCTGACATAAGATCCGGTAACCGGCATTAAAGTAGACACCTCAACATTAGCTATTTGATTTAGACCCACAATAAATCCGACAAATATATAAGCTACCAACATACCAACATTACCCCTAAAAATAGTTAGTAGATGCTTTAAAAATTAGAAGTAAAGACTTACTTATTATGATACATACGCAAGTGCTAGAGTACTTCCAGAAGATAAAAATAAGCCAGTACCAAATATTCCAACCAAAGCTAGCATTTGAATATGTCTTTGTTTCAAGCCTCTGGTCAAGTTGTCTTCTGTTTTAAAAACTATGTTTGAATATTCAAACTCTTCTATTGTTTGTTCATGATACCCATTTTTTTTGTCTTGTTTCTGAAACAGGTTTTTATGCTTGTCCATATCCCGATCGATATCAATAACATCGTTTGAAGACAGAGACATTTTGTTTCTATATAATTATATTGGTTAATAATAATGTCCATTCATTAGATTTATATAGCTTTTATTGAGGCTGAACATTGTCGTTGAAGCCACATTTAAGACGCTTATACAATACACACCATAAATTGCAACCAACATCTATTGTAATCTAAATAGTACCAAATGCACAGTTTACAATAGTATAAGTAACCGAAATATGAACAAATACCCTGTATTTAGCTCAAAACGAACTAAGAATTTTAAAATATTATTAGTCTCACGTCAATATTTCGCATACATATACATATTGCCTTGTATTTTGCGCGATTTTGCAGCCACAATGATCTCACCTATTGACGACAATATTTATGGGATTAAAACATATTGAATACATACTTGTTAGTTTATTAGAATATAATCAGTTTTATTAAAATAATTATATAATCAATTTAATCCTAAAGCCTCTCTCTGCGATTTCGATTCAGGATCAAAATATGGAACCTCTGCTAAGGATGAAACTCTTGTTCCATGTCTTTCTTCTTTTCCTTCGTGATCCCAGACTGCGAAGTGTTGGGAGACTCTATTGTCCCACAAGGCGGAAGTACCTAAACCTTCTTTTGTTGGTTTCCAATTGAATCTAACCTGAATATCTAAATTCTTTTCGAAAACTTCAAACAAGTATTCTAAGATAACCTTGCTTTCTTCAGGCTCCAAACCAACAATTCTTCTTGTCATAGAGCGGTTTACAAATAAAGATTTCCAACCAGTTGCTGGGTGAGTTCTAATAATTGGATGCTCTCTTTCAATGTTTGCACTTCCTCTCAACGGATTTTCACGATCAACGTATTTGTTTGCAGAAATATAAATAGCAGTTTTACCTTCTAAAAATTCTTGAAACGCTGGAGACAATTTATCATAAGCAGCATAGCCAGATGACCAAACAGTGTCACCGCCTACATCAGGAATTGCATCATTATGCAAATGAGTGATTCCTGGTGGTTGCAATTCATGAGTAAGATCTGTGTGCCAGATACTAGTTCCTTGTCCAACGGCATTCTTAAAATTAATATCCAAACCGTTTCTTCTGAATAAGTCTTGCCAAATAACAGTAATTCCATGAAGTCCGGGAACATGAACTTGTTGAGCATGTTTTTCAACTGTCCCCCAATAACTTCCCAATTCAAGTTGTTTTTGAGGGGACAAATCTTGATCTCTGAAAAATACAACTACTCTTTCAGCGATTAGCAAAGCCAACTCATCCTTCTGCTTATCATTTAAATCCTTCAATTGTAAACCGATAATCTCGGTACCAATATGCTTGGTTAAATTTCTAACTTCCTTGGCGGCACTAAATAATGCCTTTTTCTCAGGATCAGCATTCTTGCCTCGTTCAATGTAAGGTGTTTCTGTGCTTCTTATGGCTTCTGCTTGGTCAAGGAAGATGGGAATATCTTCAGTTGGGGGTCTTTCTGGATATCCTCTTGACAAGTCAACACCGGCCTTCTCTAACCTTTCTCGAGTTGTACTAGGCAACCTCTCAACCCATGAGTCAGCAAAACCACCCTTATAAGAAGATCTGAAATCACGTTTTTTGCTATTTGTATTCAAGCGAGCAATACTTACTACCGCTTCTTCTAAATCGAAGTCGGTGGAATTAGGTTTTATCACTTCTGCAGTTGGAGCCATTGTTTGTTTTGAATGTTAATAGGATCAAGACAAAATGAAAAACGATTCTCAATCAGTGTCTTTATAGTCTTAATATTAGTAATATTTCAAAGATTAATGTGTTGACTGTGGCTAGATTATTAATAAAAATTCATGCATGAAAGATAATGCATCAATTTGTTTTGAATTATCTGAGAAATAGCAAATATGGAGAAATTAATGCTATTAACTGTGGCAATATTGTGTCAGTAGGAAAGATCCTTAAAATTATCTGAACCTGATACAATAAGTGACAACTTTATTTATCTAGTTCGGCTTCGGCTTCGAAAAGTTGTGGTTTGAGTAAACTCGTCCTTATTATAAATTCCTCAGGGCTTTAGTGGGAGAAATAAACAAAGTGTGGATCTAAGTATAATTCAGTTTTTTGCTATCAATCTTGCGCAACTTTCTGATTATTTTAGTTCGTAGCCATGTCTTAACCACAGTAATTATCTGAAAACCTTCAAGTATGGGCTTAATTAAGTAAAACTCTAGATTCTGACTAACATAAATATTCCAATATCTTATATTCAGTATACAGGGGTAGATTGCAAGTTTTTATTTTGAGATAATACTTAAACATATTATATAATTTCTATTTGTGTAACGCTATTAAGTTCTATAAGCACTAAATATATATCTTTTCAGTTTCACTATATACTAATTCAAAGGATCTTTACAGCGTGACATCAATCTATAGTGATTTTATCAATAATGTACCTTTCCTTGACCTTTTCATCCCTTCGAATAAAATGAACTGCAATACCTGTCATAATCAACCCAAATGCACTTAAGCAAGCAGTATATGTAAATCCAATAAAATATCTGGGACTATCATTGGTATCCCAAACAAATATCGGAACAAATGCACCGGTAACATAAGCTAGCGTATTTGTACATACAACAACAAAATTTCTCTTCATATCATCTTCAAATAATAATCTATTAACCCAAGAAAAAATTTGTGGTTGACCCCAAGATGTAGGCACCCCTACCAAAAAGTAACAAAACCAATGAAGACCTCGTGGAATATGCCACCCTGAGAGTAACGAGCATCCAATTAATAAACAAACAAAATAGGCAAATACGAAATAATGATTCTTCTTACCTCCTATGAAATCAGCAAAGTACGACATGATTATAGCAACAGCGATACCGACACCCGATAATACTGCAGGCATTCTATTATATACTTCTTGAGGTTCCTTTAGTCCTAATTTCATCCAGCCTTCAAATGTGGGCTGATTTATTGCAGAACAACTATTATTGTAAGCAAGAAATACTAATGGGAAGACATATATGTGCCAGGTATTGAAGAAACTCTTGATTTTTTTCCACGTATATTTTCTACGGGTATTGAGTTGTGCTCCAATTCTTCTTCGTCTTTCTAAAGCAACTAGTTTGTCATCTTTTGTCCAATACCATGCATTTGTGGTTGAAGGGGTGTTCGGATCAACAAACATTGTATATATCCCGATGGGAAAGGAAATTACTGCATCAAAAACAAACATCCATTTGAAAGCAGGCAAACTACTACCCGCAAAGTTATTCAAAATTGTACTTTGTAAAGGACCAGAAACCAACCCAGATGCAACTCCAGCAACAGCAAAAAAGGTAGAACGCTTACTCAATTCTTTTGTGCCATACCATGAACCAACTAAGTATTCTAAACCAGGGAAATAGCCAGATTCTGTTAACCCTACAAAAAACCTAATTGCATATAATCCGTTCAATGACTTACAAGTAATCATTAATACAGTTAATATAGCCCAGATAATTTCTAAACCACCCAAGTAATAACGAGCACTAATCCGATGAAGTATTAAATTCGATGGAATTTGCCCAATAATATAACCCACTGTCCATAATGTATTGAGATAGTTATATTGATTCTGGTTCATAGTATAATACTCATCCATACCATTTATATATGCTGTCTTCATGTTAGAGGCATTCAACTGCTTAATAAAGTAGCCTAACATAGAAGAGCTTATAAGAAAAAAGTCCAATTTCATCAAAAACTTCTTTTCAGTTGGATGCTTATCGACAGAATCCCATAAAAATAACTTAAACTTGTACCATTTTGAAGTTTTTCTATAGAGTTTCTCTTCTTCTGATAAGTTTAATGTTAAATCAATGTAAGGTGTGTCATCATCATTTGAATCAGAAGCAGAAATACGTCTTTCATTAACTATCTCTGTAGTCTTTTTGGGTGATGAGTCAATCAGGTTGTAGCCATTATTATTATAGCTAATGGCATCACTCTCTTCAATACTTGGAGACTTTTGCACTGCTTCACGCATTTTTTTCTACTTTCTGTCCTCAGAATTTTCATCAAGTTATAGAGATTCAACCTCCTTTAATAGAGAACGCAGCATACTTCTCCGAACTAAATCATTAATTATGAATTGCTTACGCATCAGAAGACTGAGACACATATAACTGTGTCTTATTAGATGATTCCGTCATGAGATTACTACTAACAATAACTGAATGATTGTGGAAAGATGTGGATGTAAAAGCTGTGGTTGTAAAAGCTGTGGTTGTAAAAGCTGTGGACGCAAAATTAACAGAACTCTGGTTTCAAATATTTGCGGGTTGTTTAGCGCTAAAATCAACGGAAAAACTTTCAGCCTCTATCTGATAAGGAAAAGTGGTATTCTGATTCGTCCCATCAGAATAGTTATACACAGTATTAATATACCCTTAGACATGATTAATAATCAGTAAGAATGTTAATAAATTCACTCTATTTTGGATAGGATTTGGTATTAAATTAAGAGTCTTATTTGAGAGTATGTCAAATGTGTCAAAAATACGTAGTATTGACAAAGCCTATATTGAGAAAAAATTATGAATTAGCCATATATAGTTAAAGCGATAAAAATGTATTCTTCAAATGAAGTTAGGTTTCCAAACCTTCTAATGGTATTTCAGACCCAAATCTATTCTAAAGTTTTCTGAACATATCAATTAGATTCAAATCTTTTACTAGCTTCCTCCCAGTTTATAACGTTCCAAATGGCTTTGAAGTAATCTACCTTAACATTTTGATATTGCAAATAATAGGCGTGTTCCCAAGCGTCAATTGCAATTAATGGAATTAGAGGACCCGTGACTGTGTCTTGATTATACGTTGTAACAACATCTAAGTTCCCACCATTTTGATTGTTTTTGACAATGAATGCCCACCCTGAACCTTGAATACTTGCCAATTTTGCATTTGTAATGCTAATCAAATTATCAACAGATCCATACTGCTCGACGATTTTTTTGCCAAACTTCGTATCAGATCCGGGATGTTGTCCACCATTCTGAGATTTAGGTGCTAAACTTTTCCAAAATAAGACATGATTAGTATGACCCCCTCCATGGAATTTGATATTTTGCTGAATTTCAATAGCTTTTTTAACATCACCTTGGGCTTCTGCTTCAATTAGTTGTTCAATTGCGCTATTGTAGCCATTAACATAAGTCTGGTGATGTTTCTTGTGGTGAATTTCATTAATCTTAGCAGAAATATAAGGTTCCAATGAATCATAGGCCCAATCTAATTGGGGTAATTCAATCTTATTTTTACCAAATGCTGTGTTATTCGTCATCCCTAATTGTTAATACTCAAGTAAAGTTCGTATTTAATCAATTTGTAAGGAAAAAAATATCGTTTTTATAGTGGGACTTCACCCATACTTATACCTTAATGGTTATGTCGAATTGCTTCCGTGATATACGAGGACGATGCAAACCTATGTTTTTCACACTTGGTCAACCACAATTGTGTTCATACTGATACTTTACATAAACAATTTGCTACTCTGCCACCTTGGCTCCTTTAATTGAGAATGAGCCACATGTAAACCGAGAATTGTGCCCATTAGCAGCAAATGTGAAGAGTGACTGATGCCTGACATAAATGAATTCTGATGTTTGCTAAGCAATATCTAGCCACTTCTGATAAAATATTTGCTCAATTTATGACCCACATCGATTACTGGATAGGATAAGATAAATGCTCAATGTATACATGGTTTATAAGAAGGATCATTATTGAAAAATTTGTAAAATTCTGATCAATATTATATCAAAATATTATTAATCAATTACGTGTTTATACATGCTACTTACATTACTAAGTTAATATCCGTGAGCAAATTAGGTAAATCTATATATCTCGTCCTTTCATTCTATGTGCCAAAATATGTAGTATAAAGGCTTCATATCATGTGACTGCTGCAATTTTTAACCAAAAATATAATGTAGGCGATTATTTTAGGTAAAAGTAAGATATCGAAAAGTGGCGGGAACAAACTATAAACTGAATTTCAATCAAATTCTTTAATAGCTAGAACCACTTAATATCAAATATCTTTTTTTGAAGAGTACTAATTAGGATTATTCAAATCAACTTCTAGAGGGTTAATTACCTTCGTTTTATAAAAAAGCTTGTACCCTAGTATGAGGAAAACGTTAACAGCTATTCCAATATATGAGGTAATAAAAAGTTTATAGTGAAACGAGGTAATGAAAGCACTATATCCATTAAAAATAGTGACAATTGCAATTAGAAATAGAGCCCCATAAGATGTATAAGGTTGAAACCACATTCGGAAAGGGATTTCTTCTCGACCAATGTTTTGAGCTTTAATAGATCTATGATATCCAATATATGCAATTAATATATAAATCCAATTTATGATTCCAAAAACAGAAACTGTGCTGGTGATATATCCGAAGACTTCTGCTGCAGATTCTTTAGTGTTCATATAAGCCAACAATCCAAAAAGTGCAGCAAATGAACAACCTATGAAAGGAACATTGAAACGATTCAATTTTAAGAAAATCTTTGGTGCCGCCCCATCCTTGGCTAAACCGTATATTTGACGCGAGCAGATATAAAGATCAGTATTGGCAGAGCTAGAAATGAATATTAATAAACATGCATTAATGAATGAAGGTAGAACTTTAATTCCTGAAGATTTGATAGCAATAACATATGGAGAGGCATTAGCATTGGTACCATTTGCATTCACTAACAATGGATTTTCTGGGGAAACTGCTAAACCTAACAAGAAGACCCCGAAAATGTAGAAGAAGCAAATCCTGAAAATGACCTGCCTGGATGCTTTCGGTATTGTTTTCTTTGGTGTTGGTGATTCCCCAAATATTATGCCAACCATTTCAGACCCCACAAATCCAAATATGGACTGAATCACACATGCCCACCAACCTAGAAATTTTCCTTTGTTACCATCTACTAGATAAGGTAAAAACCCGGTTTCCTTCCAGAATCTGAATCCAATTGTTTCATGATTTGGTGTTCCCCCACATGTGATCACAATACAGACGATAAAAATTATGATTAAAACTAGTAACTTACTTGCAGCTAACCAGTATTCGATCTCACCATAAATGCGGACGCTGAAATAGTTGCTTGCAATGACCAATACGTATAACACACTTATCCATATTGCAACATTCAAGTCATCTCTCCAAAATTGGATTACTAAACCAGCTGCTGTCAAATTAGCGGATAAAACTATTGCATATTTAAAAAAATAGTTCCAGCCTGCCGCAAAGCCAATTGCAGGATCAACATACTTTGTACAATAACCACTAAACCCTTTTTGCATTGGTAGAAAACTAGCCATTTCTGCTAAAGAGAATATAACTACCAATAATAAACTACCAGTGAAACAATATGCTAGAAATATACTAATCGTTCCTCCTCGTTTAAGCGCAGTTCCTGATCCAATTATCAATCCTGTACCTATAGCCAGTGCAAGAGTTAACATCGAAACATGTCGTTCTTTAAAATTACGAGCAAGGTTGTCATGGCTCGATTCAACAGGGTTTTTAGTTGCCTCTAAATCTGTAACAGATATTTGTTCAGAACCCTTTTCTGATAAATCTTTAGACATTTTCAACGTTTAAGCGATATTTTTGCAAACATTTTTAACTAGTAATACTTAGAAAGTTTTATACTCCGATGCTATATTCTGCACGTGAGACGGTGATATCAAAGATTGAACGGCTAAAAAAACTGTGGTTCAAAACTAGTGTTAAAAACACCGAATTGAATATGCGAACGCCGTTTAGATAAAAAATATGTACATGAAGTAAATATTATCAAATTAGTTTTTCCATATTATATTGCATAATATCATATATAAAACATTGATACTAATTATATAAGTAATAGTTATTTCATGTAATATTGAATGTATATCCTGCCATCTCAAATGTCATGATACAGTATTTATTCTTTATTACTAAATAATTTCCAAGATCCTATAAATTCTTAAGCACCTGGCTTAAGAAAAATGGACAGCAATTCGTTTATTTAGAAGCGCTCGAATGACCCGAATTTGAATCCTCAACGTGATTTATTTCTAATTTTTCATGTAACTCACTATCTGTTAAGAACGGAATAGTTGGTTCCCATGAAGCTGATCTCCATGCTGGAATTCCTTCATCCCACAATTGTCCAATTTCTTCTAATCTCTTACCCTTAGTCTCAGGGAAAAAGAAGAATACATGAAGGAACATGCAACCACAGAAAGTAGCAAAAATCATGTATGTTTTCCAAGTAATGTTTTTGAATGCTGATGGAGTGAACATTGCAATTGCAAAATTAAAAATCCAATTTGCTGATGTCGTAAAACATGCCCCTCTTTGTCTTGAGGCACTGTCACCCCAAACCTCAGCACAATACATCCAGATACATACACCCCAACTATATGCGAATGATACAACAAACAAGTAACAACAAGCAATTACGCCTTTGGCTGCAGTCGAGTTACCAGGGGGGATCCTTAATCTAACAGTATCGTTACCTCCAACATTATCAGTGGGCTCAGCATAGGTCGAGAGCAAACCGCCAACCGCAAATTGCCATATCATCATGAATGCCGCACCACTCAATAATATAGGCCTTCTACCGAATATATCCATTAAATATAATGAAGGAGCAGTCATAACAAAAAATAGAACATACTGAATAGAAGACGCAATTAAATTTGCGTCACCCAGATAGCCAGCCATATCAAAAACATAAACAATATAATACATTAATGTGTTCATCCCTGTCAATTGTTGCCATATTTGAGCAAAAGTAGCTGTTACGGTTCTAAGGAGGTATTTACGTTTGAATAGATCTGCATAAGTGAAAGATTTGATATTTTCTTCTGCCAAAATTTGATCCTTAATCTCAGTGATCTCAATCATGACATCAGGATCTTCTCTATCGCCTTTAGCCTGAATCTTCGCAACAATATATTCTGCTTCTTCCCAACAACCTTGCTTAGCTAGCCATCTAGGTGACTCAGGGATAAAAAAACAGCCGATGAACAATAAAAGGCCAGGAACAATTTGCAACCCCCATGATAATCTGAATGAAGCCACGCCATTAATGAAATGTAAAGCATAACAGACATAGAACATAACTAAGATTCCTAATGTGACCGAAAGCTGAAATAATCCACCTATAAATCCTCTTATTTTTCTTGGTGCCAATTCTGTACCGTAAACTGGGGCCACCGAGGAACCAAACCCAACACCAAATCCAGAAATGAAACGACCAATAATCAATTGGACGACGCTCTGCGAAGAAGATTGAATTGCTGCCCCAACACACCAAAAAAATGCACAAAACATCAACGACATTCTTCTCCCAAAAGGTTCTGAAATGAAAGCAGAAGACAATGCCCCAAAGAACGACCCAAGAGACATAGATGCTGTAATAAATCCTTGAAGTGTAGAATTGGGCGAGTTGAAGAAATCTAAGTAGTTATCATCTCCAATGAATAAAGACATCGAAGAGATATCAATACCAAACATCATGCCAGATATACAAGAAATACCAACAACAATATAGACGTTATGAATGTTCGGAAAACCATCCAAAAAGGTTTTAAACTTTAAAGCCGGGGCTAGTAATTTATCTTCGTATCCCATTTTGCAATATTGTTTGAGTAGGTAATTTCAAAATCAAATTTTCTAACAATAGTTTTATCTTGGATCTGATTGCCTTTATAAGCATTTGATAATAATATGTTTTTGGGGTTCAGGCTACAATTCTCGGTTCTGATGAGCCAGGCCATCATAAATAGGTTTAATCAAATGGTTCCCTTATTCAACAATATGCGAGATTCCGAAATGTGGGGCAGCTTCCTGTACATCCAATTGTTTAATGGTATTGCGGGATTCTACTAAGGTTGCATTCAATCCCAAATTATACAATAATTGCTTCCCGCGGAAGCAAGCTATTTCATAAATATATTACCTAGGTGTTCGGCAAAGGTGAGTTTTTCGGAATTAGATTTTTGGTAATTCAGTTTGGTGCCTGTAATTTTGATTAGAAGATGTTCAATGATTTTCATCACGAACTACCAGCACTTACAATTATAAAACTACAGAGATGTTTTCTAATTGAACTAAAAAATTAGACTAGTATTTCCATCTGTAAAATATCCTAATGCAAGCTCATTTCGTTTTATAAAACTGGAAGATTTATTTTCAACCCGAGATCTCAACAATAGAAATCTCGGCAATACCTATTTGGTAACAAAGGATAAAAGATAACCCAAATTAAGAGTCCACCCGAAATCACGAGCAAAGATAAAAAGAGAACGTTTCTGGTGGGTGGGTGACGGGAGAGAACAAAAATTTGAATGAAAGACATATACACCACTATAAGCTAATTAACCGAAGTCGGGAGAAGAGTGGGAGTTGTTGTACTTGTAGTAGATGAGTGACATTTTACTACACCTAAAGCAATTGTAGTTCCTGCAGGGCAAATTCAAATCGGTTGAGAGATAATTTTCATATTTGTTTCTGACAAAGAAAGGACATGCGGAAAATGCTTTTGTATCTTTATAGTACAATATTTCATCTCTAATTGAAAAGCCATAAGCAGGGTATTTATCTTTGTCCAAAGACAAACCAAATGCGGGGAAATCATCGCTTGAAAGAACGGATAACTTAACCCCAGCTTCATTTTGAAGCGTCCCATCATCATTTACAGTAAATCTAACAATATCCCCAAGAGGATCAACAGCTGTACTGTTTCCAGCATATAACTCATTGTACTCTTTATGTTTGGTTATTAGAACATTGTCAAGCTCGGGATCATGTGTTACCATACGGAGCTCGAACGGTTTACTTGTAAGAGCAGAACATATAAATACACATAAAGCGACAGCACTAGATAATCTCATTTTTATTATTGATTATCATAGAATTAATTCTAAAGTAATATCTGGTAAAATATGTATATTTATACATGATGGATATCACATAATTCTAAAAAAAATGTATTCATAACCTTCCCCTCCGACATATCATAACTTGATTTAAGTTTCATTCATAAACAAAGCACCGCTATGGGTCATGTTAGATATGCTGTAATCGATCATGTTATGGCTTTAAGTCGAAAACTGCTATCAAATGAATAAATAATTCTCTCGAGATGTGAGTTCGATGTTATTATAAGTTCTCCTTAAGTCTAGAAACCAACTTTAAGTTCATTCTTTCTAATTCAATAGATTAGGAATGCATTTATGTTTGGTTAAAGGAATATATATGTTCTATTTTTATAAACAGAAATGTCTCTAAAAATAGATGATTAGTAGCGCAAGTCTCAATAGATTAGAATTCGCATCTAAAAGAAATAACATTGATAGCGTGAAATAATCAGTGAACAAGAGAACACAATATTCAAACATACAAAGTTTCAAAACAAAAGTTTATAAGATTTTTACACTATCAAGCAAATAGAGCTGATTAAAAATATAAACAGAAGAATAATAATACAACAACCAGCTTACACAGAAGTTCTGTCATTAGTCTACACCTGGTTGTGATTTTTGACTTTTTCATTACTTTATCCCTTTAATATTCTCTTCGATTTTTATTTCGATAAGCGGTATAATTATCATTTTCCTCAATTACTTCTAATCATGAATACTTGTTAGTTTCCTAGTTCAAAGGCAAATTCCAAACATTCATCAAAATTTCCTGCACCTTCTTGTATTCTTTAACAATCACTTGATAGGTTATAAAGGACTTACTTAGCTATACTGTCTTAGCTTTTAATAAAAGAATGACGAGCTTATCTAAATGCAAGCAATTTCCTCTGATAATGTTTTGCAATCGCGGCTATGTATGTAATTTATCTATATGTGCGAATTTAAAATGTGGGGGGCTGTTATTTACAATTGTTGTTCAAAATCATTGCAGATTGACCCTTGCTTTAAAAACTAGCCCCCCCTTCTCCAACCACAAAAACCTTTAAATTATTACTATATCACCAAAAAAGTTTTCTGAATATATAGCACGGATTGTAGTAGTTCTTGTATTCAGAAGAGAGGGCGAAGAACCATTATTAGCTGCTGCAGAGACTTCTAGGACTAAGGTATATTTTGCAGATGTATAATCATTTTCTATTTTATTTAAAATGGTTACTTACGAACAAAATGGTTAAACATGAAAAGACTAAAAGATTCCAAATTTGACAAGCAAAAACTATCTGGTCGCTTTAACACAATCCCATATCTTTTATTAATTAACATTCGTTTTGTCTGAGTTTGGACATAGTATCGTTGAAAAAAGGTACAACAAAAGATTTATCTTTTAATCACAATGGTTTAATGGCAAATGCTAAAGCGAAACAAGCATAAGTTGACTTAGAACCAAATATGAGAATTATCACTGCACTTCATGTCCTCCTATTAAATTCAGCTGTTTTTTTATACCCAAATACCTTCATAAAATTTGGTTGTCTTTGACAAAATAAAATACTATACAATCAGTTGTACCTATATAATGAAACATGCACAACATAAATAAATTACATTACTGGTTATTACAAGCATTAATCTAGTATAGTTTGAAGAAATATTTGAACTTTGCAGATCTATTTATTTTCTAGATGATCCATCAATCTTCGAATAAATTTGGATTTCGAATTATTACGATAGAGGTAATTTTATTGAATGAAAGAAGCTTATAACTGCATAAGAGGTGTGTAAGTGGGAAAAGCCCACTTTCTCTTTCACCAGATGATGCGCATTGATTTGTATCGAACTGAAGGAACTGGAGCAACCTAAATAGCGAAACATATTACAATATTAAAGCATAAATGTAGGATTGACAAATTTATTATGAAAATCTTAAGTATTTCTCTAGAACACTATTGAACAAGCCATCTTTATATTGCAACTAAAGCTTCCTTATAGTTCCCCAGAATCAATTTCTGCGAATATATAGATGTTACACAAACCCAATCACACCCAATTTCACGAAATGCCGAGGATCTGGCCGTTACTTTTTAAAATTAGCTGGCAGTTTGATGCGCATGCAGAACGATGAGTAAGAAGATTCTTCATACAGCTTAGGAGCCCGGAACATATAGCATAAACTATTGTCACTCAAACAGTTGACATTTGGTATAAAAACTCAATAGACCCTATGTAACATCAACTCTTCTGGTACTAGTTCCAGAATACTAGAATTTATTTTCAGCTATTCTTTAACTATCAAATATAGTAATTTTTATCTTCTGAATCTTCTATAGCAACTTATCTAGAATAATATTGAAATATTTTCCGCTTAATAGTTCGGTATGTACATGCTCGGTCTGGTTTGGTTCTAGACGCTGAGTCAGGCACCAATAAAGAAGTATATATATATGCAGTACAATCTATTTACACAAGCGTATCTCGAGAAAATATTGCATACCCAAGGTAAAGACAATTACCATGTGAATTAGGCAAATGCTTGCAGAGGTAATGCCTACAACTCGCTTCTAACTACGTTGATTGACTGCTGCTTCTTAACGACAGTGTCAGATCTATTATTCTTCACGGATAATCTTCGATATTACTTAATCGAGCGAGACAAGTAGCATGCTTTTATCAAGTTAAATCCATAGTATGTACAGGTCATGCCTCTCTACATGATACTGCAAACATATAAGATTGTGTTTCTAATATAGTGTGTTCATATAGAGGTAGGTTTCCGTATTATTACAGTTTATTTATACATCAGACTTTAGTTTGGTGTCAATGTAACATCAACTAATCGTTGTGCTTCAAATTGACTGTGGCCTGCATTCCTGGCTACACACCGCCTTACTAATATTAGTCTGTGAGTTCAAACTTTATTTGGAACCAACAGAAGTAATTTAAGTTTTTGGTTATGAACCTGTGACGCATGGAAATGCCCAGGAATTTCGATTTTTTAACCAGCGACTTACATCAAACATATTTTCTTGTCCAAGCCCATGCAAAAATCAATCATTAAAAAGCTTAATTTTAAACCGCTATTTTTCCGCTTGCTTGCTTCAGTCTGTAATACTGCAAATATAGCCATTAGAAACCGCATATTTCTTTCGTGAGATTATAAAACATAAAACTCTCGTAAGCATTGTAAAAATTTGTTCGTGAACGAGAACTATTTCTCGTATTGAAGTTAGCTTATGAGCTCCGTTTAGCTTTTTAGTGGGGGTAAAAATGCGGAGACAAGTGAATTACTATACCTAAATTCGTGTTTCGTACATATTCTCTCGAACAAGTATATTTCGAGCATAATTTATTATTAAATCCTGCATTGTCATGAGGCAAGTTTTTACCCTTATATGCATTATTGACGAACGTTCAAAATATATTTGACAAGCGTCCAATCAAATAGCATTGGGATACAGGGCTTTTGACTCAAAAGTGGCATGTTACGTCATTATACCTATAGTACTGTTCGGGTGGCTGCATATTTTTTTTTCCCTTTGTATAGCTGTTAAAAGTCCAGCAGACATAAACAAACCAGATTGTACTTGCCATCCGAAAACTATATATTGGGAAAGATTTCCTGAAGTTTTTGGCTATGTTTCTTCTATTTTTTTTCTTCAGCTTATATTTTTATTTTTCATATTATTTGCTAGGTTTTGATAACACAAAAAATAATATGGCTGTAAAGATTTGGGAGAGAACTAATACGTTAGGTCTTAAGGGGAGATCCCTTAGATTGGCCATTACCATCACAGCTGTTACAGGTTTCTCTTTGTTCGGTTATGATCAAGGTTTAATGTCTGGTATTATTACTGGTGATGATTTCAGTAAGGAATTTCCTGCTGTCACAGCAGAAGGTGCTGGCTCAGAACATTGGGCTACTGTTAATCAAGGTGCAATTACTTCATGTTATGAAATTGGTTGTTTCTTCGGTGCATTATTTGCCTTGTTCAGAGGTGACAAATTCGGAAGAAGGCCTATGGTGATTATTGGTTCATTACTTATTATTCTCGGTACAATTATTTCCACAGCAGCATTTGGTCCACATTGGGGATTAGGACAATTCGTCATTGGTAGAGTTATTACAGGATTAGGTAACGGTATGGATACTGCTACTATTCCTGTTTGGCAATCTGAAGTCTCTAGAGCGGAAAACAGAGGTTTCTTAGTTAACTTAGAAGGTTCAGTTGTTGCATTGGGTACATTCATTGCCTATTGGTTAGATTTTGGGTTATCGTATGTTGAGGGAGAACATGCATCTGTGCAATGGAGATTTCCCGTTGCATTCCAAATTTTTTTCGCTACTATTTTATTCTTAGGTATCATCAATTTACCAGAATCACCAAGATGGTTAATTGCTCACGGCTACAAAGATGAAGCTCATTATGTATTGGCAGCTTTAAATGATGTTGACATTAATGATGATTTAGTTATTGCCGAAAGTACTGTTATCACAGATGGTGTCAACAGATTTTCAAGATCGCAAGTTGGATTTAAAGAATTATTTTCTGGAGGAAAGCTGCAACATTTTTCAAGAATGGTCATTGGTGCATCTACTCAATTCTTTCAACAATTTACTGGATGTAATGCTTCTATCTATTATTCGACTGTTTTATTTCAACGTTTGAATATGCAAGAAACTTATGAGAAGTTACCGTTGGTTATGGGAGGTGTGTTCTCTACAGTTTACGCTTTAATGACTATTCCATCTTTCTTCTTGATTGATAGGTTGGGTAGAAGAGCTTTATTTTTGATTGGTGCTGCTGGTCAAGGTTTAGCATTCACTATCGCGTTTGCAAGTTTGATTAAGGATGATGGTGAAGATAAGGGTGGTCAAAAAGCTGCTGCATTTGGTATCTTCTTGTTTATTGCCTTCTTTGCCTTCACCATTTTACCATTACCATGGGTTTATCCACCAGAAATCAATCCATTAAGAACTAGAACTGTTGCTTCTGCTGTTTCCACTTGTACCAATTGGTTAACGAATTTTGCTGTTGTTATGTTTACTCCGCTTTTTATGGCCGAAAGTCAGTTCGGTTGTTACTTGTTCTTTGCCCTTTTCAATTACCTTTTCATTCCAGTTATCTTCTTCTTCTACCCTGAGACAGCAGGTCGTACTTTAGAAGAAATCGATATTATTTTTGCCAAAGCACATGTTGATAAGAGACAACCATGGAGAGTTGCTGCTGCCTTGCCTCGCTTATCCTTGAAAGAACAAGAAGAAGAAGGTAATAAATTAGGTCTTTTCGATGATTTCGAAAAGGAAGGATTTGAACAAAGTGAAAATATTTCATCTAATACATCTAACAAGTCACCTGAAGAAGGTTCAAATGATGAACCTTTAGTTAAACCTGCTGAAGTTTAGATTTAGAGTATTATATAATTATACATATACCCCACCCCATTAATATATTTCTACGTTATAATTGTTAGGAGATTTAAGATTTCAACTAAAAATTCACTGAATAATGCTAACAAGCGAGGGTCACTAATAAGAATTAAGAAAGTTTCTTATCTTACTTTTTCGTAAGTTGTTAAAAATCAGCCACAACCCTTATGCTAGTTCTTTAATTATTTATTCGATCGCCATGAGCCTGATACACAATAAGCAGTATAAGTTACGCCACTTTGATGTAGCCACGATTCAATGGATTTTGAGTATTTTATATGGTTGTTAAAAGTACACCAGCAACATTGTACTTCTTCAATATCTATATATTAGTGAAGAAGCAACTGTCATTATTGTTTCTCTTGAAGTTAAGTTATTATTACTTATTTTTCATTCAAGAACATGGATTTATCTTCCAGAAACCAATCCTTTAAGAACTAGAACTATCGCTACTGCGGTATCAACTTGTACTCGTTGGTTGACAAATTTTGAAGTCGTCATATTTATTCCTATATTTATCGGTGCTAGTAGTTATGGCTGTCATTTATTTTTGCTGTCATGAATTTCCTTTTTATTCCTGTCTTTTTATGGATTTACCCCGTAACTGCTGGGCGTACTTGGAAGAAATTGATATCTTCTTACATAGCACATGTTGGTAGGAGATTACCATGGAGAGTTGCTGCAACTTTGCCACACTTGAATTTTAAGGAACAGGAAGAAGAGTGAATCAAATTAGGTCTTTACGAAAATGAATTCGAAAAGGAAGGATTTGAACACAGAAATATATCGTTTCATTCATCAGGCCAGTTAAAGGATGATGAAGATGATTCAAATGATACAACTTTGCTTAAAACTGCTGAAGTTTAATCTAGAACGTTTTAAGCTATTATCGTTTCATGTTAGCATGCCGTAAATCAATATTCACGCAGAATATATTTCTAATAAATAGGGTTTAACTACTAAATGTTACGTACAATGATAATAATACGTTGGTGCTAAAACAACTCTAATGAAATGTATATAATAAATTAATTTATAGATTATCAATCTTATCAAACATCTCGATGATAGTGTAATAATGCCCTATAACTCCCAAAACAACACAAATATGCCAGATATTATGACTTGAAAAACAGTAATCAACCCACCAAAGCGAAAAAAAATCCTTATTATATGGGGTCTTGACCGGTTCAGGAGGGAAATGCTTGTCAATAATATCTCTATACTTGTTTTCTTCTTCCTCAACAAGATCTTTTTCATTATCAATATATTCAAGATCATCCTTCTCACGATAGTTATGTTGTTCAGCTTGCTGTTTTATGTCATTTTCAATTTGCTCTAATTCTTCATTACCACTGTTTTCAGGGTTTCCTTTCAAAACATCACTTGAATTGTGCGAATGACTACAGGTCTCATCTTCGATAATCACCACATCGTATCTCCATCTCTCTGGGAATAAGCTTCCATAAAAAATAACCCCAATTGCGTACCATATAAGACTCTTGTAAACCATTGGGAAAAAGAATTTCATTGATGACATAAAGCCTTCATAAAATATCTGACATAAAATTGTAGTAAAGCCTAAAAACGCCAATCCAACATAAAATCCAATTCTCAATGATCTACATTCTGGTTTGTCAAAATACGGCGACCAGTTAAATGTAAATCCTGTTAACCCACAAATTGACGAGAATATCATGTAAATTCGAAGTAAAGATGGGTAACGGTATAGTGAACAATATTCAGCAGATATAATTGACGCAGTAATTAATACTGTTATGCCAGTATAATCAACGCAAGCACAATTTGATTTTATAGTTATGTTAGCAAACGAAGTATATGTATGAAAGATAACTGAACAGCCAAGACAACCTATAGCTGCTACTAAAAATGTGTACATCGCAGCATTATCTTCAAAGCTATTTCTCTTGAATGTTTCGGTTCCCGGATAATGCCAGAACGAAATATATAACAACAATAAAAACCCAAGTAGATGCGTCCAAATGTTCATGCTTTCATTGTGATTCAATTTGAATATTGATTTTAACGTAGTCCAATGTTTCATAGAGTATCGATAACCATGGATAATGTAGCGGTTCTCTCTCCAATGTAATGGCAATTCATAATAGTGCAAGTATTTATTTTCAGCCGCCTTTAATGCCCTATTAAAGTTGTAAAAGCCAAGGTGTTTGAAAGTTGGCGCCTTATAATCAGCTGTACCTTGAAAGGTACGTTCTTGTATCAAGTTATCGACTTGTAATAATTTTTCATCAAAATACTGTATGGTAGTAATTATCTTCACAGACAACATTTCCTTACTGTTGGAACCTATCTTTTCAGTATCTATCGGCGTCGTACAAGAATTAAATAAGTAATTATATTGGTCATCTAAGGTATTGTATAGGTTTTCCAAATTTGTAAATGACGATTTTAATACCGAGTTCTTAATGAATCTAAGTCTTTGATAGATCATGTTTAAGTTGTTCACAGAAAACGACTTTATTGAACTCAAGCTAGCATTACTATTTCTTCTTGATTTATCACACTCCTCGGGTACACTTAGTCCCTCATTTATCTCACCCTTGCTTACTTTGAAATATTGCTCAAAGCTATCTAACCTTGATTCAATAGACGACAAAAATTTATCTAGCTTCTCAATCAAGAGCTCCTCAGTCGTCTTTTCACTTGGTTCAGGGCTAGGTTTATCAAACCTATTCCTTAGTAATGTAGTTGTCGTATCACTACTAGACATGGTTGATATCAGTTTAAAATCAAGTTGATAACGAGAGAAGAATCTAAAAATCACTACCTTTCTTTCTTCGGATCCATATAGGGGAACAGTTATAGTATTTCTTTTGAGTATTTCAAATGATTACATAATAATTTAACAAAGGTTTTATTCTTTACTTTTCATAAGACTCCACTAATAGAGAAAGCAACTACAAATTAAAAAGTAATTAAATAGGTTTATTATGCAAGCATTAATTAATTAATTTGGAACAAAAATATTCACAGAAATAAAAATTTATAAATTTCATAAGTATTCAAACTTAATCGATGTCAGCTATGTGATGCTTCAATCTCTCTATATTCTCGAAATCGAATAAAGCCTTCCTCAAGGGCTTTTTCATTTTAAATGTTGAGGTTAATTTATTGTATTCTTGTTTCGATCGTTTATCGTCGTTTAGTGCTGTATTATCTCTGCCAAGATGGTCAAATAAATACTTTCTTTCTCGCGCATGTATGTCAGTGTATTTCTTGGTTAAGTAGTATTCAACCAAAATAATGTCATCTTCCAATAATTTTAATACTTGAGCATCTGTCATTTTGGAGATCCTTTGTAATAATTTGTCCTTGTCTATGTTTCCTTCGTTGTTACGGATTTCACTTTCATCGAAAACAGCTGCAACTTGCTCTTTTCTCAACCATAAGTTGAGTTTATGAACAAAGTACCAGTCATTAAATTCGTAAGACGACAAACCTTTTGCATACTCAAAAATTAATCTATCAGTAATCGTCAGTGGAATGTAGACAGGGACACCACCCATCATGGAGTATTTCAAAGGCGACAATTGCTCTAATTTATAGAAATGCTTACGACGGTCGTTATAGATTTCTACTTGGTCATCGTGGAATCCCTTATCAATACTAACCAAGTCGTTATTAACATACTCCTCAGGTGTATTAGCTGCTGATTTACTCAAACCGGTAATATCAATATAAATACCAGAATCAACATCAACAAATCTTGCATCAATATGATTTGATTGCTTTGAGATGCCTCTATTGTGAATGTAGGTACCGACATCTATCAAATATTTACCATAACCTTCATTAGGGTCTTCAAGAACTAAAGTCTGGTTGTAGTCTTTGGCTAATCTCGCTAATTCCATCATTGGCATTTGTATATCAATATCAACATCGAAGGGAAACATCAAGCCATCCCAATACCAAGAAAGCAAAGGACCATGCATAATCCAGGTTACGATACCCTTTTCTTCGGCAAATCTATTCCAATTTCTTAATAACCTGTCTAAAATGATATTCGTACGTATAATTAATTCAGATTTAGACCATCCATTTCTCTTATAGTTTAATGCACCATTGAAGAATCTCCAATCATAATGCCATCCCCATTCATGATCACGATTCTTGTCATCGTCTATTCTAATAGTGGCCATCTTGAAGTAAGTTGGTTCATTATCATCGCCATATTTTGAACATTCCTTCAAACCTTCATAGTACAATCTTTCTTGTCTACTAATTTCTGCCAATGGAATTTCATTCTTTTGTTCGTAAAATTCAATCTGCAGTGAAATCATGGCTGGAGGATAATGAAACATTTCCTTGGTCAATACCATTTCTCTTGAAGCTTTTGGATTCTTTTGTCTTCTCAAAATTTGGTACATATTATGTTTATCTTCTTCCTCTGGTAAGTACTTAGGTGTCACCTTATCTAACAATTCCATCAATTCCTTCGTATGGTCAAATTTAACCACTGTATCATCCTCGACTTTTTCAGGGTCTATATTATTACTTCTCAAATACTTCGTAACCATGTCTGATGTTGCTAACCTCAGATTATCAGATTGGTCAACCATAAATTCGAATGTACCACCATTCTTATCCCCATTCAACATAATAACTCTATTAGGCTTTGGCAAATGCGTCAAAGCATACGACTTTGACTCTAACACTCTGATGTCGTTGTAAGGACGATCATCGTGACTCGAATGGCCATGAATAAGGAATCCCGGTAATTGTTCTTTGTGTTTGAAGCCTAATTCCTTTACCTGTTCGTCAGTCAATTTTTCATTCTCCAAACAAAAGTATGACGTATCAGGATTATTATTGGTACGATCCTTAATATATTGACAAGTAATTCGCTCTTCCATTGGCTTGTCTAATTCGTCATTTAATAGTCTCAAATCCATCCAATCGGCCCAACTGAACGGCAATTTGATAGGATTCACTGTCTTGAAGTCAATCTTACCATACGAATCAGTAGCAGCCTTGTCACTTTGACTCAAAGCCTGCTGTTTGATTTCGTTGAGGTATACAGATAACGTAAACCTAGGGTCGTAGAATAACTCGTTTTTGTTCCTCCACGATGTATCATCATCGAATGTCGATAAAAATGGCTTAATAGTCACATCTATCTCTGTCTCTGTTAATCCAGTCTGTGCTAACCAGAATCTATTTTTATCTTTTTCAATTTGGGCAAATTTTTTGTTAATCTTTCTCTGCAATGACATACCATTGCCTCCTTCAGCAAGGTTATTTATTGGCTGTTGTGGTTGTGTAGAGTCATCGTTTGATGTATAAGATGAATAAAATTTGCTAATATCTTCAATCTTGTATTCCGTAAAATGATATATGGAAAAATATGTTACGTGTATTAAAACTATTGCTGCAATCAAGCATTTTGCCCACTTGACAGTTGTCTTCGAAGTGATTATTCTGGGCAATGAATATTTTACCATCGTATACTACCTTTCGAATTAAGCTAATACTATAGATGGCTTGATTATTCAATTTCACTAAGCAAGATCTTAGCGGTTAAATCAAATCAACTTAGCCCCAATATGATTAAAATTTTCCGGGAGGGAAAAAAAAAAAGGAACAAGATAATAGTCACGTGATAGATAGAATCTGTCACACGGGCTCTTGCTGCATTTGTCGGATATACTTACAGAAAAGGAAGGAATAAGAAATCGTTTAATCATATATATGTATACGTTCTATATGTATTATGGCCACTAGTGTGTATTTTTCAATAGACCATCTAACTGTGTACGTAGTAAAACGTCAAATTTATCTAGTTCACTTGTGCCGAAAGCATCTAGCTCTTTTTCTAGTTTACTCAACTTCATCTGGAGATCCCTATCAAGTGCACTATCTGTATTAGCCTCAGTCTCCTTATGCAATAAGTTGAAATCATCTATATCTTCGTCATTGATACCGAGGTCACCGCCAGTGATCTCGGGTAACATGCCTTCGTTTAGGTAGTTCCATTGGTCATCTAATGCGTCCTGGGTACCGACAATTTCGTCGGACTGGGCCTTTTTATTTAAATACTGCTTGAGTATCGATCTCTTCTGGAGAGTTTTGGTGATTCGTTGGTTAAGCTGTTGCAATAATAGGCTCTGGTCGACGTCTGGTGGCATGGCTGATTTGAGGTCGATCGTTACCTTTGGAGAATCTGTGAACTTAATTCTCAACATGTAAAGGAATTTTTCAATCCACTTGATTATGTTCAAGAAAAGCTTTTCATCGTCCTTCACGTACAAATTGTGAATGAACCCCCACAATGCGTTTTCGTGTCTGTCAAATACTGCTCTTGATCTTTCAAATATCTCAAACGGACTCATGTAGTACATATCTTCTTCACTCAATTGGGTCAATTCGCTTAGTAAATCATCCATGAACCTTTGAAAGTCCTTAAAGACGAGGTGAATATCGCATTTGGCAAATACTCGCATTAAGGGCTGATAGAAGATTGTCAAGAATTTCTTGATTAATCGTGTTAATTCCGGTTCTTGCCACAACTGTTTCATAAGGTCTTTATCCTTCTTTCTAAGCAAAATTAACCAATATTGCTTTAAATTGAAATATAATTCTGATTCTGATAATTTTTCCTTGTCTTTAATCTCTTCGTAAGACTGGTACGATTTCGCAATATCAGTGAAAGTACTTTTATCTTGGGCATTCAAAACAGGCTCAAGGCGGTCTGTTGATAAAAGGGTTAGCAACAAATCCTCCCCTGAGTTTCTGGAGTCTTCTTTTATGCTTTCCACTACGGATTCATCTGCTATATTGACATAATTTTCAATTCTCTGTAAAAATGCTTCATATTTCATATTGCTGGATAACTTTTCGTCTTTTAAAGTTTTCAATTCTTTCTTGAAATCGTTTAAATCTTCGTCTAAAAGCATTATAAACATCAAAGACAATAAATTTCTTGCTTTCGTCGATTTAGATGCATCTGCTAATTCTTTTGAGCCCGAAAATCCAAACAGAGGCAATGAGAAAGACGGAAAATTTGCCAATAATAAATCAATTATTCTTGACACCATCTTCATTGGATTCGTAAACTTTAATATGCCGTACACTATATTATATGGAAATAATGCATGAAACTTTCTACATTTCAGCAACCATTCGCTTGAATTATCAACACTCAAGAAAACTTGGTATAATGTTGCAGCAACCTCAAGCTTCGACCATTCCACGAAAGTTTTTAACAAGGGTGACAAATTTTCCACCTTGGGAGATTTTCCAATTTCTTCAAATATCTCTGTAAGTGCTTCCGGGTTCATTATCAATTTTTTCTTGAATTCATCAAAATTTTTTCCTAATTCTATGATCGCAGTAGCGGTTTGTTTCTGAAATTCAAGCTGGGTTTCGGCTTTAGCCTTTTCATGCTCTAATCTATTTTCGTAATCATGCAATTCAGTAGGGGGTAATTTTGCATACTGCAAATGTGGATTGAACACGAAATGATAAAAGATATCGGAATGAATAATTTCATTATGTTTAATAAGGTTGTTTAGATATCCTCTAAGCGCCAATCTAAGTCTTTCTCTTGCCAAACTTTGGGGTTCAGGAGTGACAGAACCCAGCGCCAGAGATGATGCAGTTTTAAAAGACAGGTCATCCTGCGTGCTATCCTCATTAGTATCAAACGAACTGTTACGAGATAAAAGCGACAGCTCCAGCTCTGGCTTCCTTGATATTCCATCGTCGCGCTTTAATTTTTCGGGTAGTTTTGGGACATCAGTAGACATCAACCCAGGATACTTCTTCTTAAGGTCATGTTCGAGTTTTTTAAATTCATGGTAAGGTCTCGGTATAAAATACGAAGTGTAGTGGTAAGTTCCTTCTTTATCCGCTTCCCTTTTGGTATATTGAATGACAAATTCGTAGTTATGTCTCACGGTATTATTAGAATATGGCGACAACCTCGAAACTTCCTTAAATATATTCCATCTCGAAGCGCCAGCAGAATCTGATCCGGACCCATTCTGGTTATTGATGCGCTTGACTGCAACTATATTCAAATTTAAATCGTTGGTAAACTTCATCTTTTCATATTCATCCAACCCCCCAAAGTCTTCTAACGATGCACCAATTTCGAGAGAACTTGGCTTCTTTCGTATTTTATCTAACGCTCCAGTCTCTGAGGGCTTTAAATGCTCATTATGTAAATAATCCAAGTCCTTCTCTGTAATAAGCATAGAATTATAAAACAAGAGTAAACTTGACAACATCTTCTTATTTATTTGTCTCCTTTTGGTGGTATTATCCTGTCTCTCTTGCGAATCAGAAATATTCTTCAGATTAAAACTTTCAAGGAATTCTTGTACCGTATCTTGCCAAAACGATAATTGGTCCTCAGCCTTATTGGTAGCAATAAAAGGAAATGTAGCGATAAAATTGTCGAAAAAAAATCTTAGCAACGGGAATTGATATTCTTCCGTCTGTTCTGGTGTAGACTTAAAAGGTGGTCCAAACAATTGGCAGCAATTCGGTTGTGATAGCAAATGGAGTTCCTGGGTCAACCGGTTTTCCAATAAATACTTCTTTAAGAAGTGCTCCTGAGTTGGATTCAAATCACTGAGAATATCATTGTTCATTTCAGTGGTCATATCAGGATTAGTACTAGCCATTTTTCATTTATTCCGATATAAATTCTTATTGTATAGACCCTACAACTAATACAAATAATCTGCGGTACAATCCCTGCTTGCAGGTTGATAAAATCCGAGACATCGCGACATTTTTTTTTTGGTGATGGACTCTAAATTTTTTTTTTTTTTCAGATGGCCTCTTCTTTATCATATTAAATTTTTTTATAAATTGTTTTTCATTCGACAGAAGGAACAATTTGATATATAAACAAACATTTATATTCACAATGGGTACTCAGAAGAAAGAAAAGTCTAGAAGGGTGAGACAAAATGATGTGAGAGATGGTAACCTTCGTGTTAAAGGTGAAAATTTCTACAGAGATAGTAAGAAGGTTAAACATTTGCAAATGTATAAGACAGGTAGAGCTGTTCGTAACGCTAAGGGAGAAATAATACAGGCTGCTGCTTTACAAAGTACTGACTTACCTACAGCACGTGTGGATCCAAATAGAAAATGGTTTGGTAACACCCGTGTTATAGCACAGGATGCTTTGAGTCACTTTAGAGAAGCTATGGGTGATAAGAAAAACGATTCATACCAGGTTTTGTTGAGAAGAAATAAATTGCCTATGTCATTACTTGATGAAAAAGATCAAACTGAATCTCCTACTCTGAAAATTTTAGAGACCGAGTCGTACGAACAAGTTTTTGGTCCAAAGCAACAGCGTAAGAAGCCAAGATACTTAGCAGCATCTAATTTAGAAGAATTAGCACAGTTGACGGAAGCAGATTCTAAAACCTTCGAAGAAAAGCAAGAGTTAGATTCTACGTTAGGCTTGATGGGTGGCTCGATTTTGGATAAGGATGACTTCACTCAAGAGGCTAAAGAAGCCATTTTCCACAAAGGTCAATCCAAAAGAATCTGGAACGAGTTATATAAGGTTATTGACTCCTCTGATGTGGTTATCCATGTGTTGGACGCTAGGGATCCATTAGGAACCCGATGCGAATCAGTTGAAAAGTATATCAGGGAAGAATGTGCTCATAAGCATTTGGTTTATGTTTTAAACAAGTGTGACTTGGTACCAACTTGGGTTGCAGTACGTATAAGCTTTTTTTATCATTTATTATGATGTGTGGATTTTTTTCTTTTTTTTTTTTTATTTTTTTTTACACCAAAGCCTTTTGTCAGGGTGATAATTCTATTGATAATTTTATCAATAATATCCAGAATATTGCCTGTTACGTCTTTGGAATAATAATACTACCCGCCCATGAGTCCAATTCTTGTTTCAAGAATTGGTTCTGGAATCGTTTTGATTCCAGTTTCGCTCATACTTAGTTGATAGTTTTTATCGACGCCTTAGGGTAGTATCGGGATCTTCTTGAGTTGAAACTATTCTAGTTAGAGCTTTGCTTTGACTTTTGGTGAATTTTTTCGTAGTATAGAAACCGACATTTGTTCTTAACCTCTTATATTGAGCCCTTTTTTCCACACACATTATGAATGAAAATTTATAATCACAAACTTCAAATACTAACATTAATTTAGGCTGCATGGGTGAAGCATTTATCTAAGTCATACCCAACTTTGGCATTCCATGCTTCCATTACCAATTCTTTTGGTAAGGGATCATTAATTCAATTATTGCGTCAGTTCTCGTCATTGCATTCAGATCGTAAACAAATTTCGGTTGGTTTTATTGGATATCCAAATACCGGAAAATCATCGATTATCAACACGTTACGTAGAAAGAAGGTTTGTACCGTCGCACCAATACCCGGTGAAACAAAAGTCTGGCAATATATTACTTTGATGAAGAAGATATTTTTAATCGATTGTCCTGGTATTGTTCCTCCCTCTCTGAAAGATAGTGAATCTGATATCTTATTTAGAGGTGTTGTCAGAGTTGAGCATGTTTCGAATCCTGAGCAATATATTCCAGATATGTTGAGTAAGTGTGAACGTAAGCACTTAGAGAGGACTTATGAAATTAAGGGATGGGCTGATTTTGAAGAAAATCCGGAATTGTTAGAAACTGCTAGTACTCAATTCATAGAATTAATCGCAAGAAAACATGGTAGATTATTAAAGGGTGGTGAACCTGACGAGAGTGGTGTTTCCAAGCAGGTGTTAAATGATTTCAACAGAGGTAAGATTCCATGGTTTGTCCCTCCTCCAAAGGACGAAGAAGAAAAGAGCGGTGAAGATAAAAAAGCATCTTATAAGAGAAAAAGAGCTGAAAGAGAGGAGAAGAAAGAAGCTAATGCCAAGAAGCATAAAGTTGAAGCAACCGCAGCTGATAGTGGTGAATGGGAAGGAATTAAAGATTAACGTGTAAACATTTTATAGAACATAATATGTACAATAGGGTTTTAATTTAATTTAGTTCGATAGTGTATGTTTCATCTAGATATATATAATAACGTTAAGAAACACAAGAAATGAAAATAATACAAGAAATTTATTAATTCTACTGAATATAAATGTATCATTAGAGTGGTCTTCCGAAGTGAACCACACCACTCTTAGCTGAATTACCTGGTGTAGAGGGAGTCGTATTCGAAACCGACCCGTTTTGTTGTACGTCACTCGACGAGCTTCCATAGACACTTCCAAGTCCCCAAATTACACCTTTAAACTTCTCCAAAATGCTATTGTCATATCCCGCTTGTCTCAACAATTCCTTGAAACATTCCATGGATAAATAAGCATGCAAGGTAGATGTCATTTGTTGGTGCTGTTGGCCAGGGAAATGTGAGTTTGAAGATGCAAAGTATTGACGAATTATAGGAGAAATTGGTAATAAATGTAATTCTTCCGCCAAGTATTCGATGGATGGCTTATTATTAGATATCATATTCTTGGAACTGTCACTATTGGAGCCACCAGTTGGAATTTCCACAGAATTACTTGGTCCGCTATTAATAGAGTTTCCGTTCGATTTGGTATTATTTGAATTACTATTGTTATTCGAGAAAGTATTCACTAATTGATTTCCAATTAACTTCAAATCATAAAAGTTTGGAAAGTATTTGGAACACCACCAATAGAAATCTTTTTCATCGAGTGGAAGGTTGTCATTAATTAATAAACTAATAAGAAATCCCAAGTCGTAACCTGCGTGATAACTTATCCAATTAATAGATGTATCCAACAATAACCCACACTCCGTAATTAATTCAGCAAATGCAAAGTGTGGTATACCCTGGGTCATATGTAATTGAAAATTAATCTGAGAAGTTTGAGATAGCATCGCTAAATGCTCTTCATTGTACATTTCCTTCGTTAAATCATATAAGAAGTTAAATTGCCAAATTATCGAGGAACGAATTTCATTATTCTTGTTAACCTTAGTAACACATAAAGACAATTGAATCAAGTTTAACAAATCGGAGTTTGATCTCAATGTTTGGAAATGATAATCAGAAGACGACTTAAACGTTCCAACTGGTCTTGCCACGATTCCCGGAATTTCTTGATGAATGGCAATGTACACAGCAGACCCTTTATCATTAATAAACGAACGCAATGCATGAAATTCATGTTCCAAGTTATGCGACCATACTTCTTTAATTATTGGAACCTGCTGTTGTTGGACAGGATGATTGTGTTGACCTTGAAGCTGTTGTTGGAATAATTGTTGTTGATGCTGTTGTAATTGCTGCTGTAATTGAAGCTGCAACGCAGTGTTCACTGTTTGATTAGAGGAAGCACCAGCACCAGCATTTACAGCGCCACCAGATTGATTTGACGCATTTATGGCCGACAACAATGGATTTGTGGAGACTTGACTAGCATTAGGTGTACCTAGCTGCTGTTGCGGTTGTTGTTGTAAGTGATGATTTAGTAATTGCTGTCTTTGCTGTTGCAACTGCTGTTGCTGTTGTAATTGTAATTGAGATATTTGTGGTGATTGAACTCCAGCGTTCATAGGTTGCTGTGACTGCTGTTGTTGCTGTAAATATTGAAGATGTGGATTGATATTCATTTTTGGTTCTATACTGCTTATTACCGAGTGATATATTTATATCTCTATTTTCTGAAATTATTCTTTCGGAATTGACGTTAAGTGAGATTGAATTTATCTCCAATTCAAAATACTACTCTAGGGCTATTTCACAATATAATACACGGTTAACAGCTAAATTGATTTACTTTACTTTTTTTAATTATTTGAAGGATAAGAAGAACGTTGGAAAAAAACTGAGCTCAGTGGCAGTTTTGTGTAATTTCTACATTTAGTCGATTCTACTACATAGATGTAGATTCTATTATTACAATTTAACTATATAGACTTATAGCTGCTCTCTGAAATTAGTCGTGTTGCCTAACCTTGGACCATCCCTAGGAGCTCCAGAATTATTTTGCAAGAAATTGTGATCACCAATTCTTCTTGGTTTGATTAAATGTTGTAACAAAAATGCAATACCCAATACTAAGCATATGACTGCAACGATAATATAAATCACACCCAAACTCATATTACGGCCGCCAAATACAGAATTTGTAGTTATAACCATGGTTTTGGTGCCACCGAATATAGATACTGGATAATTCATTTCAATTGAAATTTCATAGGTACCAGATGTCATTGTTTCAGTCTCATTCTTTCCATATAATTTATAGAAGGTTGCTAATCCAGCAGTTCTCATCCAATTTTGAAGATGTTCCCAGGTAGCTAAATCTGGTAAATTATCTTTTGTGTAGCCATCTGGATACATTTTATACCAATTTGGAGGTGGTACGATATCTTCTGGGTCGTACTTTGTCTTCTTGTATTTACTATTACGGTCCGATGACCAGGAAATATCCTCATCTGATAACTTGTATGTCTCATTGTTGCTTCCGCTTTTGGCATTTAAAAGCACAGGACTCGAAAACGTATCGTTGAAATAGGAGTTTGAAATTAATCCACATGGATAAACAATCTTATCATCTATGAATCTTAACGGCTTACAACCGTCTGATAAATCACCTTTGGTAACAGCAATTCCTTTTAATTGCTCTAAGTCGTAGGATTCCACGTATTTACGATGATTTTGATAAAAATTGGTCAACTTGTAATATAAGTAGATAGGTGGTTTTATATCCTTAGGCAACTCAAAGCGAATGTGACAAGTTTGCTTCAAATCATCAAATTCATCAGTAGAATTAACTACCTTCCATTGGAACTCGGGATTATTGTTCTTCTTCTTGAAGTGATGGGAAGTATACTTTCCTGGAACTGACTTGAAATCATCAGAATGTAGCGATCCGCAATGACTATAATCAAGAGACAACACCTCGACGTTATACACAGTGTTAATAATCGCAATACCTAATGGTGCAAATATAACTGCTAGTATTATTAAGAAGGGAATAACTGATTTTGGAGTAAGCAATGGTTGCCAGGCTTTAAGTCTTTGTTGTCTAAATGCAGTATTTGGCGGTTTACGGGACTTATGTATGTTGGATACATTGTTATCATTGAGATCATCATTATCATCATCTGAATCAGAAGTCCTTCGGTTACGCAAGAAATTCATTACTGTAAAATCAGTCGATCTATAGCTTTCTGTCTATCAAATATAAGCGTCTTAATTAGATCATTTTAATCTTAAGGCTGTGAATTGTGAGTACAGTTATGAAGTCGTGTAAATGTACCAATATGAAAAATTCCTATTCTATAAGGTTGGATATAATTCTATATACTAACTATATGCTTTAAAATTAATAATCAATACTTAAATGACTAATATGGGCTAGTCCAAGTTCCTTGAACTTGATCTATTCTTCTTACCGTTTTGCTTTTTATCATTCCTTCCCCTCTTTTCATTACCAGTGCTAGTATTCCCTTTATCCTTTGGATTTTTTACATTAGTCTTACTACCAGTATGGGTCTTAGATTCTCTAACTTCTAACTGAATAACATAGCCATCGACCTCTGTTTCTTTGGCTTCGAGTGCCTTTTTCTGTGCCTCACCGTCTACGAAGTCACACAATGCGATATTGACAAATACTCTGAAAAACTTGATCTCACCAAACTTCTTAGTCAAGTGATTTTTCAACTTATCTTCATCGATATCTTTAACACCACGGATGTAGATAGGAAACCAATCCTCCTTCTTATATTTACCATTTGAGGTTGGCTGTGGTTGTTGAGGTTGGGCTGGAAGTTGAGTTTGTTGGGTATGAGCCATAGGTGGAGTCTTTTTAACCGCAAGGGTAGCCGAGGTTTTAGCTGGAGACAAAACTGAAGGCTTTGCAGATGGTGGAGGTTGCTGAGCGGCTAATGCAGCCCACGATATAGGACGAGAATTAGAAGAATGAGATGACTCCTCGTTGGTTGATTCTGATTTTTGTTCAGTTTCTGAGTCAGTTTTGGATTCATGATGTGATTCGGTAGTGTTGGACTGTGGTTTTTGTTCTGCCTTTTGTTCTGGTTTTGCCTCTGTCTTTTGTTCCGGCTTTGACTCTGGTTTTGATTCTGGTTTTGATTCTGGCTTTAATTCCGGTTTTGGTTCTGGTTTTGATTCTGGTTTTGGTTCTGGTTTTGATTCCGGTTTTGATTCTGTCTTTTGTTCCGTTTTTTGTTCTACCTTACGTTCTACCTTATGTTCAGCCTTTGCTTCGGAAATAACTTCGGACTTTAATTCGGTTTGTGATTTCTGCTTTTGTTCTGGTGCAATCGTGATATTAGTATCCGCTTTCTTAATCTCTTTTGGTTCTTTCTTTGCTTCTTCTAATTTATCTTTTTCTTGTTTGGATTCTCCATTGGAAGTAGGGACAGCAGATTTTGGCTCTTGAGGCTTAACCACTTTTGTTGTGTCGCCCTTTGATTCTATAGGAGTCTGCCTTTCTTTTGATACTTCTTTTGATTCAACAATTACTTCTTCCGTAGTAACTGCAGGCTTCTTGTATTCTTCATAGTCAACAAATCTCAAATTATCATTGGCAAGATCAAATGTGTTCTCATTCTTACCTGGGCATAAGAGGAAGGTTTGGGTAAACTGCCAAAATGGTGAATTATTCTTTGACCACTCCCCAAATACAACAATTAAAATCTTATCCTGCAAACAAACTTGTATGTCTGCACTAGTAACTACGATTCTGTTCTTCCCTTCCTTTAACGCCGTATCGTTCTGAAAGCGCTTTTTGATAGCTTCAATACCACTAGCCTTATGTAAGATTCTTGAAGCGTTGTCCTGGCTTGGAAAACTAGCATGAGAAGCAACTCCATTAGAGTGGTATAATTTGTAAATACTTTCAATACTCTTATTGTAGAAATCGTAGTACGACTCGATGAAATACCATCCAATTGAGGCTGCACGGTCAGAAGTTAAAGCCTGTCCTTGGTTTGAAAGCTGTGGGGTACTTGGTGTTGCCGGCGAAGTAGTCATGGTGTTGACGTGGCTAATCGCTTTAATGAAATACAAATATGATAACCTGATGTGTTGCCGTTGATATTCATTACAGGCTTGAAAAATTAGGTGCTCAATTTTTTCCACTCGGTGTTAACACGACTACTATCAAAGATGATCAACTATACATAGTAGTATATCAAGTATTTGTATTAAGTATTTTATACACATATATAGTATTCACTTCGCATAAATGTACGATGCTTATTGACATTCTCTTAATAATTCTTCTAAGATCTTATTTTCTAAGTCACTTTTGTTACCAACTCCGTTGAAACTTTTAATTCCCATCCTTCTTAAAACTTCAATGGTCTTGTCTCTTGGGAAACCCATGTTTTCAAACTGTGTGACAATCTCGTCATCGATTCCATACAAAGCCGAATCGCTCAAATCACCCTTACCACCTTTTTCGCCGTCCGAAGCATAAATCTTAGTCCAGTAAGCAGCCGTTTCTTCAAACCCCTTCTTGTTGGTTAAGTAATGCTTGGCAACTTCAGCATCCTGGGGATCGTTAGGTTCTGGCGATTGCAACAACGATTGTAACGAAATTAACGAACTTTTCAATGTCAAAATCGGCGTCCATGCGTCCTTCAAAATATCCAAACAAATTGCACCGGTGACTGAAGAAATATTAGGATGATATATCTTTGTGGAAAACTTCATTTGTGGAGGCTTGAAGGGATATTCATTTGGAATGTTGATATCGACTTGGAATAATCCTCCTTCGTATGGGGTACCAGGTGGCCCTCTAAAGTAACCGTTCAAATGTGTCAAATCAGTTTCGTTAACCAACAGCAAAGAGACACCAGATTGTGTATCTTGGCCACATTCTTCTAACTCCTTAGCAATTCTTTTAACACGGGACATAATAGTAAGTTATATTATTGTATTACCAATGTTTTCTTACTTGCTCAGATACTCAAATACTCGAATTTAGTCCACTTGATTTTGTGGATATCGCATTTTTTCCGTCTAACTCCAAACTATCACGGAACCACTAATATATATATGAAGTTGCAGCCACATGTACTTGATCATAGAATGTATTGCTTGCTAATTATATTGCTTGTAAGTTTTTTCTGTAATTAATTAGGTTTTGTAGTTTTGTAATCTCTGAAATCACTACATTCTTGTTCATTGGTTTAACATGCACTGTTAACCATTCTCTGGCGCTTGTTACATTTGACGATCTGTAATTAAACATTATCATCACTACAATTGAGAGAGAAGTATAGCAAATTTGGATCCTCCTAAGTTGAGTATCTGATAAATACCCAATATAGCAGCTTAAATAGATCACAAGAGCTACTACTATATAATATAATAATATTGTATTTTAATGCTACAATTCAAATAATCAACATGAGATAATGATGCCAACTTACTAGTTGCCTAAAACCCTTATTAGTTTATTTGTTCCCAATAATGTTACAACTTTTTAGCAACTTAAATATTTAGTCACTGAGAATTGATCGAAATAAGGTTTTCCCAGGGAATAACGCAACAAAATTACATCTAATTTATTCTGAGTGTATTCCTAAAGAGCAACATCGTATCAACCATGTTTGTAGATTAATCAAAGGTTAGGAAAGACTCGAAGGTGGATAGCGAAGCAATCAAGCACGTCATCATGACAAATACAAAATGGTACATGGGTAACATATTGGGAAGAGCTTTAACTTAGTCGTAATTGCCCTAACCTATTGGGGAGTTGCAGTCTTCGGTTATTAACCTTTCTTGACTAGCAAGAAACGATAATACAAGTAAAATAATTTATTAGTATCAATATAATTTACAATATAATATACAGTTTATAAATTCAAGAAGCAGGAGCTTCCGATGATGAAGAAGGGCGTGATTGGGTGGCTGGTTGAGCCTGTAAAGTTACACCACCTTTGACGTTTCTTGCTAAAGCTTCAAAAACCACCTTTAATTCATTAGGGGCAGCCTTAACAAATGGCAAATCAAAGAATCCATAGTCACCATTCTTTACTAATTCAGTGAATACGATGGTTAAACCCCACGGATGAGGCTTGTTAACAATATGTCTCTCTAATAAAACTCTAGTAATCAATTCCTGTACTGTCGTTTTGGTGGTAGCAGAACCCCAAATAGAGTTTGAGCTGAAAAAGTGTAAAATAATACCAATGAACCAATGCGTGTGGCTATTAGGGTAACGTAATTGGTTTGCAATGGCATTTATTAAATGGAATTTGAATTCCAGGGAGCCATGGTTCATCAAATCAACTAACAACGTGACATTGGATGATTTTGTGTTGAACCCTCTGTTGTTTGGTAATCTATCCGCAACCGCTGATATTCCAACGTGTAATACCAATGTGTTAATCAACTTTACATTGTAGTGGACAGTATCAAATCCAAAATCAGCCAGATCTCTAGGATGATTCAACTTCATACCACTATATATGCTTCTCATTAATGCAGGTGCTGGAATACGTAAGAAATTATCAACTGGTTTCTTCAATCCAACTTTAACTAAATCCTCAACCGGCTTGTAGGCAATAACAGGTGAGTCGTGGATTTCAGGTAATCTTTCGACTTTTAACCCTTGAGTGAAAGGATCTATAACGGGAATATTGGATGGAGTAGCTGACAAGATAATATTCTTCAACTGAATGTAATTATCAGGGATAGCGGTGACTAATTGATAATGACATTCAACTAAAAATTCAGGGTAATCATGGGCTAAGCCAGTAAAAATACGATTAATTGCCTTAAATATAACATTTATAACATCATGCTGAACAAATTCGTCTTTCGAATAAATGGCTTCAAATTTCAATACACCAGTCAATAATTTGACAACAATATTGTAGCCACGTCTTTCTGGTAATTCAAGCAATCTTGGTAAAAACATTCTGTGACTAATTAAGAATATCCACGCAAATGTAAAACCAGGGTAGACAATCGGTTGAAGTGAGTTTAAGACTTCTCCAATAAATGGATAAAATTCATCATCTAAGTGTATAGTAGCTTTCTCGTCTAACATTGAAGCATCATTCCAAGTACATAATAAGGATGAAAAAATTCTAAAGTAAGCACGCTCATTCCAACTTCCCTTGAATGTTTCATGATCATTTGTCAATACTAAAATCACAATTCCAATAATATTTTTCAAATATTCAAGTGCCTCATAAGAATGTTCCTTTTCGAAACTTAATATTATCTTCACAATCAAAATTGCTAATGCATCAACAGCTAGGTAGGTTTCACGTTGTGTTCTGGTTCTTAATTCATGTTCAGTAGCAAAAGATGTAACAGAAATTTCAGTGGCCGCCTTAAAAAAGATTTCAAAGTAATCTGGATCAGTCAATATTTCGTTATGCAACAAACTTTCAATAAATTGAGCTTGCAACGATTCACTATTATCACCATGCGCCAATAACTTGATCCATTCTGCGAATATATAGCCCATTTGACCGTAGAGTTCTGGTTGTGTTTCTGCCGCTGTTGACGAAGGAAGCGCCGACTTGTTTAATAATTCGAATAAGTTGTCGCGAGCTTGTTTGGCCAATTTATGTTCTTCTGTTGACTCATCACCTTCATATTTAGATAATGCATCTAAAGTGAAACCGAATTCTGATCTTAAGGCTATAGGCCTTAATTCCTCCGAACTAAAAACATTCAATAACAAATTAGCTGCGAATTTAGCCACAACTGGACTATTCGACTCTTTAATTAGTCTCCCAATTGAAGCATCTAATTTAATAGGCTGAACTAGCTGAACTTTTAATAATGAAAAAATGACAGGCATGTTAAATTTTCTTTGATCTGAAGAATGGACAAGCCACCAAGTAACGTCCTTAGCAGTAGAAGGTGAGTATTCACATAATTTATCTAAAACAACCACATAAATTTCATTACTCATAGGGTTTTCGTGACCTTGCGTGAAAAGACAATTAACGGTATATTGAGCGGCCTTTAATAATAATTCAGGATACTTCAAAGCATTGCTTTGAGCTATAGTCAAAGCTTGTGTCAAAGCGATCATAATTGGGTGCTCTGGTGCAAGTTCTGCCAATTGAGTCTCCTTTGCATCTTTCAATAATTGAATGGCCTTTTCACAATTCTGTGTGATTGCTGTAAAGAGTTGGTCAATAGAAACAGTTGTATCTTCTTGTTGTAAAAGGGCTAACTGCTGTTGAGGAGTCAACTGCCCAACAGGGGCAGCAGCAGCAGCAGCCATAACTGCTGGCGATGCTTCAGGAATGGTATTAGCACCAGCTTGAACAGGAGGCTGGCCACCTATATTGGAATCACTATTCGCTATTGGACCGTTTGTACCGAAAGTTTCATAGATTTTCAATTGGCTAGCATTAAGACCTTCCTGTTTCAAGCCTAATGGCTGTGGCAACTTTAAGGCATAGTCAGATGTGCCTTCTTCTATAAAAGGTTCATTTGGATTGCGCTTCTCACGAGCAGAAATGTATTTCTGCATCTTTTCATCGATTAACTCGCTTATATTACCAGCTGCAATTTTATCCACGATCTCTACGCATAAATCAACATTGCTTTGAACAGCTAAAGACAATTCAGCCAATGGTAGCTCATTTGGATTGATTTGATTGCCAAGTAGCTGTAACATAGTTGCTTCAATAGTTTCACTTAATATCTTACGTCCACTACATACAACCATACTACGAGACAATTGATGAGCTAAGTTCTGATAACCTTTTCGGAACTTAGCAACATCTGGCTCACAAGCAAAATCTTTCCTTATCATAGCTTCTGTAGTGGTTAACACAGCTTCAGAGACCCTACTTAAAATAGGAACTGCACATTCACGCACAGCACGAGATAATGAAGCCTGGAATGCACGTCTCAAGTTAGGATTCTGTGTGAATATCGTATTACCAATTAAGGTACTAAATGAAGTATCCAATTGAGTAGTTGTTGGTGCACTCTGACCTGGAACATTTGCTGTTGTACCAGCAACTTCATCAATACTTCCTCTCGCTTGTTGAAGAGAAGGAGGAACAACTTGACCCTGGGCTTGTTGCTGCAATTGAAGTTGTTGTAATTGCACATTAGGCCCTTCAGGGACGAATGGCTCTGAGGAATCAAGTGCCAATCTCGACATATCACTAGTTAAGGTGACGGTTTCTGGACGAATACCAAACATCGCTGCCAAGGCTGTAGGATTTGGATTATGACTTCTAACAATGGTTGAAGGCTCAATATCTTTAAGTTTCTTTTTGAATACATTTAATAAAACTTCAATTTCAAACTTCAAATTTAATTTTAAATCTGCACATTCATAAAGTTCGGCTAAAACTTTGATTATTCCTAGCAACCACGGGTTAGGAAGATTGAAAACTTTGGAATATTGAGCTTGATCTAAAATCCTACAAACAAATGGAATAATTAAATGTAAAGACTTAAAATCAAAAGACTCTACTAATAAAAATTTCAAAGCAATTTGATCTCTTCTCAATGGTCTGTCATTAGCTAAAGTAATTTTACCAAGCCATGAACCTAAATTCTTCAATTGAACTCTTTCAATGGATGAATCCTTAAAATTTCTAATTATGTGCTCGGCTTCCTTCAAAGAAAAATTCAAAACGTATTCGTAGAAAATTGCATTGTCCAAAGTTTCAACAAGAGTGGCATATAGCTTGTGGTTATTTGGCTCTGCCTTAGCTCTATCAGCAACTAAGTAATTGGCGAACCATAAAAAGTAATTTTCTGTCAACAATTCTTTAATTTCAGGCAATTTAGACGCCAAATTATCATCAGTCATATTGTTGACGAAGAATAATAATTTGTCTGAAATACTCTCTGCAGGTTTTTCTTGTTGAATTGAACCAATCTGCTTGTCTGAAACAGTAATAGATTGATATTTTGGTGCAGAATTGTCTGGTGTTTTTGAAGCACCAGCACCATCTGCTGATGTAGGCTGGCTGCTTGATGAAGCAGACGAGTCAGGACATGGAATACCATTAGCTGCATCTTTCACAATTTGAAACATCTTGGCATGCGCAGACAACGACTGACATTCCAATAAATGTTTACAATAAATTGGATATTCATGTAACCTAGACTTGAAGTTGTACAAGGATTGAACTGCGAATTTGAATAAATGCGAATCTTGTGGTTGGTTACATGATTCCCAGATAAAGTTAAGCGCAACTGTCAATGTAGTTCCCTGTATCAAATCCTTTTGTAATAAAGCACCAAATAAAAGTGAAGTAGATGCTAATGCAGTTAACGGATACTCTGAGAAAAATCTGTACTCATCAAGTAACGAGTGAATCATACATGCAAATACATCTTGGTCATGTGGATTGTCGCTTACCTTCATGCGAACTAGCATGTCAACAATGTCCTTAATTTCCATTTCTTTATTATACATCTTGGAATAATAAGATTTCATTTCTTGTTCTACTTGAGGAGGGAATAAATTATAGTCTTCTCCATTAGCTAAAATAGCCTCATCATGACCACAGCCAAAATTAATAAGTCTCGGATAAGTGGTTAAAAGCAGTAACTGCAAATTTTTCAATCTATCTGCATCAATTAATCCGTTGCTAGATTTCAATTTTTCTAACAAGTAGTATACAACTGGGATTCGCAATACTTTGTATAAGTCATTACTAATTTGTGGTTGTTGGCTTCGTTCATAATCTTGGGTAGCCCTTGCCTCTAAAATTTCTAACAATGCTTGGCAGAGAGGACCTCTTTGTTGCATATCTTGAAAATTGGCTTGAATAATTGGTTTACAGTCATAACCATAGTTAGTAGCATCTATAGCAAACGTTAATCCTAATTTAAAATTCAACGGCAAGAGCTTATTAAGTAATTCATCAATCAAATCCAACTTTGTAGCCGTCTTAACAATCTTGTTAATAGCCTCGGGTGTCGTTCTCTTGGTATAGTAATCGATTAACTTATTAAGAGCCAACTGAACGTCTAGTTCCTTAAACTTGTTTAATACCTTATCCAATGCATGAGTATTACTGTCCATCAATAAGGTAAACAATGTATCTATCAAATCAATAATAAATGTGTTCTTGTCCACGATAGTTAGTGCTGCAGCAATAAGATATTCAGGGAATACACGATAATCATGTTCAAAGACTTGACTCAAATAAATATTTAACTTTCTCTCTTTTTCTTGAATCTGGTTTTGCGCTTGCTGATTTTGTTGAGAAACCTTTGTCAACACTAATAATTCTAACTTACCAATGTTAACAAAGCGTAAGATATTTCTTCTTTGCTGAGGTTGTTTGCCATCATCATTATCATTAATATCGTCATCATCATCAAAGCAAAGAGTTATGTTTTTCAGAGCAGTTACATCATAACCGCCTTGTTGTGGGTCTAAAGTTTGTAAAATATACAACAATGTCTTACTAAACCACCAGTCATAATTTAAGAAAACATCTATAATACCTACTTTGAAGTCTAACGACGATAAAAGTTGAGTAATATTTGCAACTGATGGTTGAAGATTTCTTTGTGATGATTCAAATAAGTTTTCTTGAACATGAGAAAAAACTTTGTACCAATCTATATTAAATTTAGAATCTGAATCGATCGAACGAAAGCACGCTTGCAATTGAGCACCTTTGGCATTAGCTTCTGGTAAATTGTTAGCTAATGTTAAACCAGTGACACCTCCATGAGTATTAGATAGCCCCTGAGATCCAGGAATCAAAATCTCTGCCAATATTAAAGCTATGCTTTGATCAATTTCATTAGGCTTCAACTGTAAGAATGATGGCAATAATTTTTCTGGCAATAAATGCTCTGGGCCAATTTCTAGTAATAACTCTTTAAATGACATGTTGAGTATAGTTTGATAAAAACGATTTACTGGTTGTATATCTGACTTGAAGGCCTTTAAGGAACTTAAAGTTAATAATTTGTTAACTAATGGGAAAAATGGAGTGTTTAAAATGTGATCTAAAACTAAAGTCCAATCAAATTTGGATGGGAATTCTCTTGTTTTGATAACAGATAAAAGTTTTAGCGAATTTTCTTGAATGAACTGTTTAACAGGTTCTGTGTTTAAACTCTGAAATTTAATAACAATAATGAACGCTAATATTAAATCAATTTCAAATCTATTGACAAAATCTATAATATTAAAATCTTCAAGCTGATTAAATTCGTTAATTTGCAGGCAAAGAGTTTCTAAATTGTTGAGGTCTTTGGCAATATTATCTAACTCTTTCTTGAATAGTCTTTCAATCAATGATAATTTACTATTACTAGTCTTAGATTGTGATAATAAAACTGAATTGAAAAGCTTCTCTAAATAGATACGGAATACTAATGAATTTCTATTAGAATCTAAAATATAACGTATCTGCTTATAATTTGTATTCCAGTTTTTTTCTGTTAATGTCGAAATTAAGATGGATAATTGATTGGAGATTACCTTAGTTAATTCTGGATCTTGTTGACTATTATTAAGTGTACTTGATTGGCCCTTTGGGCTTTTATGTGGTAATGAAGACACGATTTATTTCTTTTAATTTAGAACTAAATGAAAATAAAGATTTAGTCTCTGCAATACCAAATGTCTAAGATCACACCGATATACTAGTGAAATATTTTGAACAATTAATTAATAATACTCGATGCAATTGGTATAATAGATCTAATCAGTAGTCTAAAATACTTATAATTAATTACAATTGTCCTGACGGTAAATAATTAGGTGAACTATATTGAATTATGGGTGAATTAAGACGGCGTCAAAAGGTTTTAAAAAATGGCCACTTTCTCAGGATTTTGTGTAATTTTTATTTTCAAAAATTACCCGGATACTATTTGAAGGTTACACGAGTATATAGGTCTTTGCAAGATTGCAATGCTGGGGTAGATATATTGTAATAGATATAACTTATGTAGTATGCTTATAGACTGCCGGCTTATATTAGTATTCCCTATACAATAACTATACCAAAATTTTAAAATTTTGACCTCCTCATTTTTTACGTTGTGTCACCTTAGTACAGATAGAAGTATTGCACAGTAGAAACAAAGTATTCATGTATTTGCTATTTAAATAACTTCGGAAATTTCACATTTCAAAGCAGACGATTCGGACTCATTATCATTAATCATGTTGTAGGCTCGTTTTAACAAGGTTTTTAAACGTATGTTTTCATCAAGAAGTTCATTATTGATGTCCGCGGATTCATTATCTTCAATCAGTTGTTCGTGCTTCAGGCATTTGGTATAATACGGAATCTTTAAATTATCACTGAATGATTTAGGTGGCAGTGAAGACAATTCACTGTTTGTCGTAATGTCTGAATATATAGAATCCAATTCACCATTGTTATCATTTCTGTTACCCAGTTTTGTAGAAAATACAGAAACTGACGAAAACCCAGACAGAAGTCTTTCAGAAGAAGAATATCTATCAATTTGCGAACTGCTAGAATTGGATCTATTTCTCGACAAATTAATTGATAAATTCTTAAATCTACTCATCATAGCAGAAGGAGTTCTCTTGTGGGACTTTATAGGTTTCTGGAATAATGGTTCTTCATACTTAGGAAGCTCCATGAATATAGAATCTTCCCAAGACAATAATAGATCACCGAAAAAAGCGCTCAAGTCCTTGACAGCTATTCCCCATTTGCTCTCATTCAATAAATGCTGATAAATAACCTCTTCATCACCTGTATCAAGGGTCATTAAAATAGGCTTATTCATTAATAGTAAACCTAATGATATTTTGAACATTCCAATTTTCCAGCCTTGGAGGAGGCAGAAATCCATTACCCTATTGACTATAGATAAATCAGGTGTGTGGCTCGAAATGAATGATAACCACCACTGATAAAGAAACACTTGCATGTCTACGAACTTATTTAAATGCTCATATAATTCGTTGTCAGTCTCTTGCAATATACTTGAAAACTCAAACTTCCATTTGTTCAAAGTATAAGACATAGTTGATGAAGTGAAAATGTCATGGAGCTCAGGCTCTGATTCCATAATTGTTACTAATGCATGAAATGTTAGGGTACTGTCGCTCTTAAAGTGGTAGTATAGAACCCCAACTAAAAATAATAACCCTTGACAGTATCCCAATTCAACATCATAGTTCGCGTACACGTTAAGAATCGTGGATAAATTATTTATAGTATCTTCATTTTTGAAAAAATTGACCAACGGGAATGTACGCGACAAGTCTTTGCTTATCTGCTTCGATATTTCCAAGCTGTATGAATGCTGAAAATTGTCATACACCAACCTCGATGTTTCTGGTATTACGTTGCCCTGGCTCATCAAAAATAATTTCTTCCATATGGTTGACCTGAGTTGAATTGGCAACCCTTGTCTTAAAAATAATAATTCTGTATAGTTTGGTAATGTGTTAATTGTGCTACTCGGATTGTTGATGAAAGAGATCCAAAACGATTTTTCAAGGTTCGATGAAATAACCCTTTGACATGAAACAAACGTTTTGCAACAATTCTTATATGCTGAATCATCGTATAGCGATTGACCACAGTTAGAACAAGTCGTGAATTCATCAGAACAGTAATCATAATCATTCATGTCATTTTCTAATCTTTCTATTCCATAATCATTTGCAGGCAAATCGCAATTACTGCTCCTATTCAACTCTATCTTTAACTCTAAATTGTGTAGCAACAAAGCATTAGTCTTAGAAATAGAAGAACTAAGTGATTCTTCAAATTCTAATAATGATTCCCAGTCAACACTAAAAGACATATTCATTTAGTTTAAAATTATAATTAGCAACTCTAATAGTATTAAGGAAAGTGGGTATAAGAAATATACAAAGGTTAAAAAAAACTTAAAAGGATCGTAGTAGTTAATAAATGATAGACAATAGTTGGAAAACCTTAAAAAAATTTCCTATATTAGAGTATAGATAGTAGTATCTTTTTAGGACGTAAAAAAGTACGAAGGGCTGAATCTGGTAAAGAATTGTTACATTTTGAATCATTTATATACCTTTATACAAACAAGGTAATTTTTTTACAGGAGGGTTTGTCACAAGAATGTACATTTCGCGAATTATTATGTCATCAAGTGACATACCCGTGTATCAAAATTTTTTGCGCTCTAGTAAGGCTACGGCTATCAAATCATCACCAATCAATTGTCATGGTGTATTACTTTAAGGCAGAAGTACAATCTGAAAAGGGTTCAAGCGAATACGATGATTTCGCTCTTGGTTCTGATGAAGAGAACGAGGAAGCAGTGATATATATGGGTAAAGATAAATTTGAAAATGAACACTTATTAAAGCATTCACACCCTAAGAATATCTGGTTCCATGTTGATAACTATTCGTCTGCTCATTTATATTTGCAATTGTCTAATGAGGACCAGTTGTTAACTTTTGATGCATTGAAGTTAAATGATAGCGTTCTAAAGCAACTCGCACAATTGACCAAGGCCAACTCCATTAAAGCGAATAAGTTAAATAACATAACAATCATATACACGCCGGTGGACAATTTGTATACTGACGGTTCAATGGACGCAGGAACAGTCACATTCCATAATCCTAAGAAGGTTAAAAGAATTCTAGTTGCTAAAAAGGAAAATGCAATAGTGAATAAATTGAACAGAACGAAATATGAGATAACGACTGAAGAATTTATCAAAAATCAACAGGCATTGCAGAGACAATATCTTGCGGACAAGAAGAACAGAGAAAGAGAAATACAGAAACAGGAACGAGAATTGGCTAAGCAGCATGAGGAACAAAAGAAGAGGAATACCGATCCGTATGCTGACCTCTTCACAGAACAAAACAAAGACTTGAATAGTAATGAATTTCGTAACGAGAACTGGGTTGAAGAAGAATTCTGGTAGAATTCTAATTCAGCATTATATGGCCTACAATCCGTTGGCTAATATATTTATTTATAGTAAATAGTCGAATATAGAAGATATTAATACGTCCTATATTTTTGTAACATAATTCTGAAGTATTCACTAACTAGTAGACTAGGATGCAACCAATCAATGATTGGTGGTGAAATACGTATTTTTCATAAAACGAAGAATGACTAGGAATCTAATGAAGAAGACATGAATTTAATCCATCTTAACTGGAAATTTACCAGCTTCCCTTTGGTCATTCCATTTTTCAACCCAATCAACTGGACACAAGGAGGTGAAAGTCTTGAAGAAAATTTGACATGGCTCGAATTCTTCTCCTTTAGCGTTGACACACTTGTGGTAATCAACGTACGATTGAGCACAATGCTTGGTTTGATTTTGATTTGGGAATCTTGGATCAAATTGTGGAGTTTCAAACTTAAAGTTTTCTGGGTCGAGAGCCATTTTGATTGTATTCTTGCTTCAATATAATCTAATACTTGTTGTTCCAAAAGCTATTCAGCGTCTTACGATTTTCATAAAGAGCTTTTAAAGGTTTTGTGTAATTTTCAATGATTGAAATTTTTATTGGTCAAAATTCGTGTCACGTGTCCGGACAAAAACGTACGACATGCTAATATACATAAGATATACAATTAATGGCCTATGCCAGATGAAGGTTAGATGACTTCAATTATCCTGGTGACTCCAACCACTCAATTCTAAGCTGGAATCTTCTTTTGGTACAAACAAAATATAGAGTATAGGCAATTGGTATATTTTATGACCATGTATGCCTGCGTCGTTCATGAAGTTATCGACATTGTTCCTTTGCTTTACTGTTTTGTTTGTTTGCTTGTAGTTTGGATTATGTAAAGAAGATTGTTTTGTTAGTTTATTATATTGTTTTAATCGTACCGTAGGATGATCGTTTCGTATAGTAGATTTCAGTAATTCACTAATAGTTAACATCTTTGAAATTGCATTTGATTTTCCTGCAATTAGAAGGGGTTCTGTTTGTGATCGTAAGAGATTCGTTATTTGGGTGACTTTAGTCTTGATGGAATCATTTTTATTTATTATGGTCAAATTTTTGCTTGGGATGGTCTGCAGTCCTTTGGATCCTATAACTTTTTGGTATAGTGCATTAGATTCAACTTCGAATAAATTCTTTTCTTCTTCAAAAATATCTTTGGATATGTCTTCATTGGTTTCTATTACATGCGCAGACATGGTATATGATAACTTCTGTAAAACTAACTATATGATCTTATGTATGCAATATATATCTCTGTAAAAAAATTCATATCTGTTCACGTGATTATGCTGATATGACATGGGTTCGTTCTAGCAACTACTTGAATTAACGATAATTGATTATAATCACTTCCTAATCTTATTCCTGATGTGGCTTTCTTCTGGGTTGCTATTGACATTGGATTGGCTGTTTGCTGCTGGATGTATTTGAGGTGATTGCAATTTGGAACTTGTTCTTGATGAACTAGCTTTACTTCCCCTGCTATTATTAGCACTACTTAAAACAGTTGATGAGGTATCTAATTCTACCCCATATCTACTTGATGTAGTTTTGTCCATTAAATCATTGAATTGGACCATATCCAAAAGACTCGCGTGCGATTGACGTAATTTATGAGAACTAGTCTTCCGGGTTATTGGGATCGATGCATGAAAAAACGTTTGTTTCTTCTTGGGAATGTTAAAACTGCCATGTCTATTAACAAACTCGTTGCTTATATTGCCGTTGGAGTAATTTGCTCCTTGTGAAGTGTTAGAGAGTGTTGCAAAACTTGATAACGAGGAATTGTATGGTTGATACATAGGCTTCTGATATTGCTGATGCGAATAACAGTTTGGGTTGGCGCTTGAATAGTACTGACCGTTTTGTTGCATATAATACGCATTAGTATTTATTCCAGCTTGGTTCTTGGGTGGTAAGTTGTGCATTCCGTGTATAGGTAAATCCTGCTGAGATTGAGAAAACGTATTATTCCTTGGATACGGGTAATTAGTGTATGGTGTATTAGAAATAGTAGTCCCTGTTTGTTGAAGGTGGTTTAATCGGGTTTCTGCATCGTAAAACTTATCACAAGGCAATTTTGTATTGACGATTGGGGCGTCATTTAAACCAGAACCTAAAGTATCTTGAATACCAGTCTTTTTCAACTCAAGTGTATTGCTGTTGTTATTGCTATTGTTTTTATTGTTGCCGATATTATTATGCGAGTGTATTTCGCTCATGAATACAAGCGGACTTGAATTGAAAAAGCTCTGGGTTGGGGGTTGTGGCAATGGTGGTGGGTTGAAGGGCGGAAAATTCATCATATTTTTGTTTGGAGGAATGCCATTAATTTCTTCCAGAGTCGTAGAATCATTCAAAATCCTTTTGGCTTGAAACAATTTCGATGGACATAAATTACCGTTATTATCAATCCCGTCTCTTATTGTTATTAACCTATTCATAAAGCTGTATGTTGATTCGAGGAATGGTGTCTCAATAGAAAATTCATCAGAAATTTTTAATAATTTTAATAAAAGGCTTGTGATATTGATTTCTATTCCCCGGCTAAAGTCATAAAACAATTTGGTGGCATCAAGATACTTAGGATAAATCTGTCGGTTATTTGAGCAGGTGATTGTTCTTTTCATTCGTTGATTGCTTTCCAATAATATCGATGATTGTAATAATTTTTTAGAACTCTCAGTATATGGTAATGGTAACCCTTTAATCTTCAAGTATTTGCATATTGTCAATATTTCTTGGAAGATACCTTTCATCAACGGTGCAACATTGATCTGCTTGGCTAATGACAAAATATCCGGCTCTTCAAATATTATTGATAAGCTTTCGAAACAGATAACCCTAATGATATTCTTCCAAATTATTTTTGAGAGGCGTCTGTGATAATCTGCTGGTAATACCACTAACTTTCCCTTCAATTTTTGGTCATTGAACACGTTTCTAAGCCTGATCAATGTACCTCCTGCTGGACCTTTTCCGTCTACCGCCGCCGTCGAAATCCCTTCTGATATCTCTGACGTGTATCCAACCATAATGGTCGTAAGATCGTTCATTAGCCTGAAACAGTTCGAGTTGTGACTAACACTCCTACAATCGACATCTGAGTAGATCGACAACACGGCATTGTCTGGAAATAGGTCTCTAAATTTTGCGGCAATCCAAATATCCTCGTTCGAGTCAACTAGAAACACCGTTTTCTTATCTATCATCCCCTCCAACAACATTCGATTGTTCTGCAACTCTTCATAGCACTTGTATGTTATAGCAACTATATCAAACTTAATGGTGGCTATTTTATCTTCCACGAACGTCGAAAGCTGCTGCATGTCACCAACAATTAAGTGCGGCAAGTATGCAAACGTCTCCGTCTCCAAAACTAAATGCCACCATTCATCTGGCATGGCTGATCTTTTTTCTTTCAATGGGACTACCGTCACCTGCCATTTTGCTTCTGCAAACGCCCATGTTAAGTACTCCAAACTCGAAGACTCTCCGATAAGTAAGGTCTGGGGATTATCCATTCGATTATGTAATGACTATCCAAACTCGTGAACCTCAGTTTAACTGCCTATTCTAAGATCAACTTGTCCCAGAAAGTAATACTTCTGCGATATCACGGATGTATTCAATAATTTATGGTCTAATCTAGACATCTTTGGAACCACAAATATATTTTTCACAACCATCTGGGTCTATGTCACGTGATTGGAACATTTCCAAAATCGTGAGTCGGTAATCTCATTCGGTGTTAGTGCAGATTTGATTAATGGCTGCAAGAGCTTTGGGTGTATGGGCTACGTAGAACGAAGGGTTGTAGTATTTGTCTAAATTAAAAAAATGCTTTTCCCCTTCTTTCTCATCTACTGGGTTTTATGTTTTATTCAGAATGCCTTAGTCATGGAATAAGCAAGACAGACAGGTTTACAATTAGTAGCACTCCTTCCAAGTATAGTAGCAAATAGGCTCCGATATATATAATTTTTGGCCCTCGTGATGTCTGAGGAGCGAGGGAATATTCATTGGAATCAGCTGAAGCTTTAAGAAAACACCCGTAAAATAGAGATTCGAGTATATACATCGGATGGTCTGTAAACCGGAAACTTTAATCGGTTCTTATTCGATGAAGTAGTTGCATCTCCATTAGCACCCCTGATCTGAATGTTCCATTTAGAACATACTCTTATAATCAGAATTATTATTTTACCACCAAGTCACTGTTAAATCATTATTTTCCCTAATCAGTCATACGTGAGTTTTTTTCTGCCTATCGCAATGTTACTATTTTCGTGAAAAACTTCTCCAGATTTAATCAAACTCGGAGTAATCCGAACACCCGATAATGTTTACCCGGCCTGGTGTAAGAACTACCGAATTTGCAAGGTCCCAGTAAGACTTGGGACCACGGATTCTCCATACTTTAACCATTTTTTCCGGGTATTGAAAGAAAACTGAATCAAGAAGCATCAAATAGCAATTATCACTTTAGGAAGTGATTTATGATTAATTTTAGATTACAATTGCCATTTAAACGAATTTTTAGCCAGTTAGATAACAAACTTGCTACTACAGTCTCAACAAGATTTCTGATTACGAATAGATACATATCGAAAATGAGCTCTCCATGTCCATATAAGCAACCAGAACACAAGTTGACCATGATCCCAGGTCCAATTGAGTTTTCGGATCCGGTCCTTTATGCCATGTCGACCCCTTCGCAGGCACACACTTCTCCAGAGTTTATCAAGACCTTCCAAACCACTTTGCAAAACTTGAGAAAATTATTCAAGTCAACTGACAGCAAAGCGCAACCATATGTGTTAGCAGGTTCGGGTACTTTGGGTTGGGATGTTGTTGGTGCTAACTTGATCAACCCAGGCGATAAGGTGTTAGTTTTGTCCACTGGATTCTTCTCGGATTCGTTTGCTGAATGCTTAAAGGTCTACGATGCTAATGTGGATGTTATCACTGCAGAAGTCGGTAATGTTTTGCCATTAGATAAGATTGCTGAAAAGTTGAAGTCCGAAAAGTACACTGCCATTACCATTACCCATGTTGATACATCAACTGCTGTTGTCAGTGACATTAAGGCCATTTCGGATGTTGTAAAGAAAGAATCTCCAGAAACTTTAATTGTTGTGGATGGTGTCTGTTCTGTTGGTGTTGAAAACTTAGAATTCGATGCCTGGGGTATCGATTTCGCTTTGACTGCTTCACAAAAGGCTATTGGTGTTCCAGCTGGTTTGTCCATTTTCTACGCTTCTGAAAGGGCTGTCACTAAGGCGTTAGATAGAAAGAAGGATTCCTCATTTTTCGCATCCATGAAGAAATGGACACCAATCATGAAGGCCTATGAAGGTGGCTCTGGTGCTTATTTCGCTACTCCTGCTGTTCAAACTATCACCGCGTTAAAGGTTTCTTTAGATGAAATCTTAGGTGAATCCTTAGACGCCAGATTTGCTAAGCATGAAGAAATTTCTACCCAATTTAAGAACCATTTGGCTAAATCGGGATTAAAGATCTTACCAATTAATGAAAAGGTTGCTGCTCATGGTTTAAGTGCCGTCTATTTCCCAGAAGGCATCAATGGTGCTGATTTCCTTGCAAAGGTTGCGGGTAAAGGCTTCACCATTGCTGGTGGTATCCACAAGGCTTTGGTCGGTAAGTATTTCAGAGTTGGTCACATGGGTTTCTCTGTCTACGAAGGGCATGTTGACAAACTTGCTAAAGCTATTGATGAAGCATTGGCTGAAGTAGGCTACAAGAAACAATAACTGTACCTCTCTGAATAAATATCATATATATTAACTAGGAACTAAATAAAAACTTTTTTGTTACCGCGGCGAAAACTATAGAACTTTTCTTTGATCTACATTTTGATAGATGGAATAATCTTTACTCTTAATTTCTTTACTATACTCTAAACTTCCATACAATGGCAATCCCATTTCCAGATATTGATCCTTATGATATATTAGAAGTGGTGAAGAGTTCCACGCCTATTGAAATTAAAAAATCATATAAAAAATTATGTTTGAAGTATCATCCGGATAAAATACAACAATCATCATCAATAGAAGATACTGAGTTCTTCCCAAAACTTCAATTTGCATACAGTATACTAAGTGATCCTATCAAAAGGCAAAGATATGACAACACCGGCTCATTAGGATTTGGGGAAGATGATATAGACGATGAATATTTTAACTGGAAGGACTATTTTGATTCGATGAATGAAAAGATAACCATTGATATGATAGAGGAAGACAAATTGAAATACCAACATTCTACAGAAGAGAGAGACGATATCTTGCATAATTTTGTCTATTACGAAGGAGATTTCATTAAGCTTTTCGAAGTTATACCACATTTGGAATTCGATGAAGTACTGGAAGATAGGGTATTCAGACTCATTGAAGACGCCATAAATAATCAAGAATTTGACACTGAGTTAGACCAGGCTACGTTGAAATCGTGGGCAAAATACAAGAAATCTAGGAAAACAAAAGTAAAGCAGATGCTAAAGAAATTAGCCAAGGAAGCCAAGGAGGCAGAAGAACTAGAGAAGCAAATAAAGGATAAAGGCAAAAGATCTTTAAAGAACGAAAATGACTTAAAGTCCATAATCCAAAGTAGACAAGCTAATAGGTTGGATAGCTTGATTGACAAATTGGAAACAAAGTATGCTGATAAAAAAGGCAAGAAAAGAAAGCCAACCGAGATAAACGACGACGAGTTCGAAAGAATTCAGAACAGTCTTGGAAGTAATAAGAATAGAAAGACAAAACGTTGATTCAGTTTCAATCTTATTTTCTAAGTTATATAAGTCATCCTCACATGTAATTCGTACCCTTCCAAAATCGCAATACGAATATATGTATAACAGTTTCAATAAGCAAATCTAGCTACCTATCTTACTACAAGCTAACATTATTGAAAGAAACTCTTTTCTTTCCGTCATTGTCCCTGACCCTTCCCTACGTACATCCTATGTCAATAATATATAAGAATACCAATATTAATCGACTATTACTTCCATAGTGTATATACAGGACCTTCATCTCTATGTACTGAAAACGCGTTGTTTATTTTGGATCTCAATGATCTCTATAATCAATTAGTTTTAACAACTATAACTCGATTACGCTATGAGTGACGTTGAATCTATAAGCTCAGGCTCTGACTATATGTCAGATGATTCTGTCGAATTTGCTCCTACTGCTGTTACTAAAAAAAAAAGTAGTTCAAAACCACCTCTTTCAGACTCCACTAATACTCCCCAAGCTTCAAATGGAAAAAAGTCAAATGCTTCAGATCAGTATCAGAAATTATCACAATTGGAACATATATTGAAAAGACCAGATACTTATATTGGGTCTGTTGAAAGATCTCCAATTGAGATGTGGTGCTTTGACCCAGTTGCAGAGTCGATGGTCTATAAAGAGGTCAACATTGTCCCAGGTTTATATAAGATTTTTGATGAAATCTTAGTTAATGCTGCCGATAATAAAATCAAAGATCCAAGCATGAAGAACATAAAAGTTAAAATTGATCCGGAAAACAACATGATAGAAGTCATGAATGATGGTAAAGGTATTCCTGTTGAGATCCACGATAAAGAGAAAATGTATATTCCTGAATTAATTTTTGGAAATTTATTGACTTCTTCAAATTATGATGATAATGAAAAAAAAGTAACGGGTGGTCGTAATGGTTTCGGTGCTAAGTTATGTAACATCTTTTCCACTGAGTTTATATTAGAAACTGCGGATTTAAATACTGGGTTGTTATATAAACAAACTTGGACTGATAATATGTCTAAGATTTCTAAACCAAAGATAACTAAATTAAAAACTAAGAAAGAATATACTAAGGTTACTTTCAAACCTGATTTATCTAAGTTCAACATGACTTCTTTGGATGAAGAAACATTGGCCGTTTTAACAAGAAGAGTTTACGATTTATGTGGTACTGTCAGCAATTGTAATATTTACTTAAATGATAAGAAATTGAATATTCGAAACTTTAAGAGTTACGTTGAAATGTATGTTAAGGCGATCAAAGAAAGAAACCCAGATCCTGAACCTGTCGATGGCCATGTCCAAAATTACACTACTATTGTTCATGAAGTATTTAATGACAGATGGGAAGTAGCATTTGCCGTCAGTGATGGAACTTTCAATCAAGTTAGTTTTGTAAATTCCATTGCAACAACCGCGGGTGGAACTCATGTAAAACATGTATCTGATCAAATAATTACTAAATTAATAGCTACTCTCGCTAAGAAGGAAAAAGGTAAAAAAAAGTTAATGATTAAAGCACAAGAAGTGAAAAACAATATGTTTTTATTTATAAACTGTCTTGTTGAAAATCCTGCCTTTACTTCGCAGACTAAAGAACAATTAACTACAAAGGTATCACAATTTGGAGGTAAGCCAAGTGAAAAAATTGCGATCAGTGAACAGTTCATAAATAAAATATTAAAAACTAGTATCGTTGATAAAATCAGATCGATTGCTAACGCCAATGAGGATAAGGCATTGCAAAAAGTTGATGGCTCCAGAAAGCTGAGAATTAAGGGCCAAGTGAAATTAGTTGATGCAAATAGAGCTGGTACAAAGGAGGGACATAAGTGTACCCTTATTTTGACAGAGGGTGATTCGGCGTTATCGTTGGCTGTAGCAGGTTTAGCGGTCGTTGGTAGGAATTATTACGGGTGCTTTCCATTGAGAGGTAAATTATTGAATGTTAGAGAAGCTTCCACTGAACAAGTATCTAAGAACGTTGAAATTAATGCTTTGAAACAAATTATAGGCTTGCAACACAAGAAACACTATAGTTTAGAAAATATTAATACTTTAAGATACGGCCATATTATGATTATGACAGATCAAGATCAAGATGGTTCGCATATTAAAGGTTTGATTATTAACTTTTTGGAAACCAGTTTTCCAGGTTTATTACAGGTTCCAGGCTTTTTGTTAGAGTTCATCACTCCTATTGTCAAAGTGACAGTTAATAAGAGAGGAAGTGGTAAACAGGTTATCCCATTCTATACTATGCCAGAATTTGAAAGATGGAGAGATACAGAGGGTCTCACTTGTCGTTGGACTCAAAAGTATTATAAGGGTTTGGGTACATCAACTGATGCAGAAGGTAGAGAATATTTTTCAGCTCTTGATAGGCATTTGAAGACATTTCATGCATTGCAAGGGGATGATCAACAATTAATTGACTTGGCATTTTCAAAAAAGAAAGCAGATGATAGAAAAGAATGGTTGCAAGGATTTGAGCCAGGTACCCATTTGGACCCTGATTTAGAAGAAATCCCAATAAGTGATTTTATCAATAAGGAATTAATCTTATTTTCAATGGCCGATAATGTTAGATCAATACCATCTGTATTGGATGGTTTCAAGCCAGGTCAACGTAAGGTGCTTTACGGTTGCTTCAAAAGAAACTTGAAATCTGAAATCAAAGTCAATCAGTTAGCTGGTTATGTTTCTGAAAATACAGGATATCACCATGGTGAACAATCGTTAGTTCAGACTATTATTGGTTTAGCACAAGATTTCATTGGTTCGAATAATTTAAACATTCTTAAGCCAAATGGTTCCTTTGGTTCCAGAGCAGCTGGTGGTAAAGATTACTCAGCTCCGAGATATATTTTCACGGAAATAAATGAAATTACCCGTAAAATCTTTAATCCCTTAGATAATGCTTTGTATAAGTATGTCCAGGATGATGAACAAACCGTGGAACCTGAGTGGTATTTGCCAGTTTTGCCAATGATTTTAGTTAATGGTGCAGAAGGTATTGGTACTGGTTGGTCTACTAACGTTCCTCCTTTTAATCCTATCGACATCGTGAATAATATTAAGAAGTTAATGAATGGAGAAGAAATGAATGAAATGTCACCATGGTATAGAGGGTGGGAGGGAGAAGTTGTGACCAATGGTAAGGATAAGTTTAAGATTATTGGAAGAATTGAGCAAACTGGTGAAACCGAAGTAGAAATCACAGAGATTCCTGTTAAAACATGGACTAACAATATGAAAGAGTTTTTGTTGAACGGTTTAGGTACTGAAAAAGTTAAACCTTGGATCAAAGACATGGAAGAACAACACGGGATGAATATAAGGTTTGTCGTTAAGCTTAGTGCTGAAGAAATGGCTAAGTCGTTAAAAGTTGGATTACTAGAAAGGTTTAACTTGATCTCATCTGTCAGTTTAACTAATATGGTAGCATTTGATCCAATGGGTAAAATCAAAAAATATGAAAGTCCCTTGGAAATTATGAAAGATTTTTACTATGTCAGATTGGAGTACTATCAACGTCGTAAAGATCATATCACCGATGAAATGCAACATCAATTGACTAAATTATCTGAACAAGCAAGATTCATTAAATTAATCATCGATAAAGAATTATCAATTTCTAATAAAAAACGATCTCTTTTGGTTGATATATTACAAAAATTGAAATTTGTCAGATTTGACAAAAATGGCAAACCAGTCAATGAAGCTAATGACCCTGCACTTTTTGTCGATGCTGATGAAGTAGCCGAAGAAGAAGAAGAAGAAGTTGGAGACATCAGTCAAATCAATGCCGGTCGTATTCCTAACGAAGATAGTAATGAGCATAAACCTGAAACAGTTTATTCACATTATGATTATTTATTAGGTATGACAATTTGGTCTTTGACGAGAGAAAGATATGAAAAGCTCTTGAAACAAAAAGAAGACAAAGAAAATGAATTGAATATTTTGTTGCTGAAGTCGGCTAAAGATCTTTGGAACGAAGACTTAGAGGACTTTTTAAAAAGTTGGCAGTTATTCTTGGAAGATGATTTCCGTAAGAGATCAAATATAGTTCCTGCTAAAGGAACAAAGAGGAAAGCCAGAAGAACCAAGGCCGTGAAACAGGAGCCAAATGAACCACCAAAGAAAAAGACAACTGCTGCTAAAAAACAATCTACGTTGCCCATACCAGTAAAGAAGGAAGCAAGTAGTGAATTTCCTTCATTTTTCACTGAAAGCAAATCACCATCCGTAGAAGAGAAAAAGAAAACAGTAGCATCTAGATTTGATGATAGTGATGACGACGAAATCTTGGGCCTTTTCAATTCTAAATCCACGTCTAGTTCCAAGCCTATAGTGAATTCAACTCCGGAGCCATCAACTAAGTCAAGATCAAAATCTCCAAAGCCATCGAAGGGTAGTGGGTTGAGGGAGGAGATTGACGATTTGGCTATTGAAGATAACGCACAGTATGCCCAACCTCCTTCCGGCAAAAGAAAAAAGAAATCGGCAGTTTCTTACAAACTAGTTTCAAGCGACGAAGAAGCTTTCGAAATCAGCGATGAAGAAGAAAGTGATGAGGAGTACGAAGAGGATTAATCTATCCTACCCCCTCTTGTTTCTATGTTATTGCCATAATATATATGTATTAAATTTCAATAATTTAATCTTGCTTCCAATCGTGTAGAGCATTCTCATTGACTGTCGTATATCTATAAAACATTCAAGTATGATTCTCTCTTGCAAAAAATTGAATGATTTCCTTTTTTAAAAAAAATTTATCTATATTATTCCAAATCTACGAAATACTGCAGAAATTCATAAAATTCAAAATTCACAAATCATATTAATTCTTGAAAAAGACAAGTTCAATTTGAATATTCTAATGTCAAATAAAAAAATACCCTTTCAACAATCATACAAACATGAAAACAGTATATGAGGTTGAAGAACTAAAAAGAAAAAATGCAAAAACGTCAAATGATCCCCAGTAAGTAATATTCGTATAATTTAATAAAGGTTCACTTGCGTCGAAAATATTTTACTATCAAAATATATATGGATCTACATTCAGATAATACGATATTTATCTATGGAGGTGACGTATATTGCCGTATCCAACCTACCTTCGACCCAATTCTGGATCTTTTTTGCTCGATGGTCAGCGACTCCATCTTTCGCTGTGACATACCCCCGACCCTCAAACTCGCGACCATTACCCAGAACGGTGACCCAATATCGTAAGGGCAAATTTCATGGACTCGCAATTCATGACGTTTCTCGCTTAGGATGGTTCGAGAGTACTAGCCTCACTGGCCTTTTGTTCGATGGTCATGGTTTATTGTTGAGCTCTCGCCTCCGTATTTTTTTTTCACGATCGTAAAATTAATATACGGTACCGCCTTTATTATTTAATACCTCATTTCTGAAAATTAAATATATAAAGACCCAAGAAGAACAAACTCTTTAATACAGCATTAGTTTGAGATTATATTCGTATCCTATGTATAATTATGATTTATTTTGAAGCAAACGTTACTACTACTATTCCCAATCCGCCAATTTCCATGAATTCAAATAATAAATACCCCAAGAGTAATAGTATAGCAGGCTATTCTACAAGCAGTCATTCAGGAATAGATTATCCACATCCAGAGTATGCGCAATCGCAAAATCAAATACATCAACAGCATCCGGCATTGCCACACCAGCAAATGCCACCCCAACAAACACATCAGCAAACACATCAACAAACGCATCAACAAACGCATCAACAAACGCATCAACAAACACATCAACAAACGCATCAACAATACCGTCAGCATAGTGGATACAATTCGAAATTTACTCCACAAGACATCCAGGTTTTGAAACAGTTGTTGGTCGCGGGAGAGAAATATAAGTGGAAGCAAATCACCAAGGAGATCAACTACCAGTCTGCTAGCAGAAAAAATATGGTTAGTGAGCAAGGTGGATTTGGATGCTCGAGCGATGACAGTAGCACATCTAACAGCTACGGAGGTACAACCACGGGAAAGTTGAAAAATGTTTCACCTACGTTTGTCATTAAGCAATATCAGGCATTACTAGGATTGCCTAATAACTCTATGTATTTTGGTCTCGTTGGATCATCATTACCTTACGTTGCAGGATCCAACGGGTGGGATGACATTGCTAACGTCTCTGGACTGTATGATGGCATACCCGACGCTCAGAACGAGGTTGAATAATAGATACACCTTATGTATTGCAATAGACATATATTTATTAGGTTAGAGTTTATTCTTGTATTTTGCATTCCCGACAAGATCCATCATTAAGGACATCCTTGTACTTGTCAATATGACCCAATTGTTCTTTCGGAAAAAGCTTATCTCTGAGTAATCCTTTTAATAATTTACTATCAGGGAACCCATCGAAATAGTAGTCTTCATCTTGTGTTAATTCTTGCTTCTTGAATTTTCTCTTGTATATGATTTCAGGCTGACTTTCAGCGGCTCTTATCACTACTACTTGAAAAAGACCCGGGTTATTGTACACTGGCTGAAGTGCCACTTCAGGAATGAAATTCTTTTCAGGGTCACTGAATGTTTGCATAACTTCTTGTAGATACCACACTGCTCTATTGTGCCATTTGCAAGCAGCACAGAATTCTATAGACACCCTAGGGTATTTGTAGGCTTCCATATCGAATTATGTATTTTATAGCAAAGAAAATTGAATCAACATTTATCGCATTAATATAAATGCGATAATCTCCGGAGATGAATTTTTATTCACCCTAGGTGGTCTCCTAGAACGTATAAAGCGTAATTACCAATCTACTAATAGTAAACGTATGTGACTACATAATGGAATACTGTTGGATGCTCGGCACATAAATTAATATATATATATATATATATATGTTGCATAGCAAAAATTGTTTTCTATATCTAAACAATTTTGATGCTGAAGGGTAATATAATAAATAAGGGAAGGATAAAAGTCATTACGCCATTCCTAACCAATCCCAGTCACTTTTCTCTCCTTCAGTTTTTACATGCTGTTGAAAATTTGGAATTGAAAAGTTGGGTGAGTGGTTCAAATAATCTATGTTGTAATCCATTTCATTGATTGGATTTAGATTTGAATCAACATCAACGTTTTCAGCGGGACTTATGTTGGATTCTTCACTTTGATTTTCCCTTTCTGTCTTTGGAGGTTTTCTAGTCGATGATTTGGGCTTCTTAACAGGAGATGTTTTTGAATTGGATGTGACTGTATCTCTTTTCGGAGACACCTTAGCATCTACCAGCGTTGTCTTGCCTATAGGTGTAGGGTTTAAGTCATCACCATCGTCGTTGGCGGATCCTGAGATCAGTTTCTTTGAGGAGGTATTTGGGCCTCTTTGTCTTTTCTTTATAACATCGGTTTTTAGGCTTAAAGGTCTAACAACTCCGTGCAATTTCAAAAATAAACCACAGGCGTTGCATAATGCTTTACCTTGTGGATCACGTCTCCATAGAGGGGTGGCTGTTGTGTTACAATTTGTACAAGAAATAGGGCCTGAATCGTCTTTTTTAGATAATGGTCCGTTGAAATCAGGCGACACTATTCGAGTTTGTTTCTTTTTGCTCTTCAAGACCTTCCCCTTTTTAACAGAGTTTTTTATTTCATTTGGAATAGTTTCGTTTAAAAAGGTTGGTAGACTAGATGAGAATGCATCCGAAGTGTTAGCTCTCTTATTTTGATTGAATGAGTTTGAATTTGAGGGAAATGCATTTTTGTTGAAACTATCAAAGTAGGAAGTAGACGTCGCAGAAGTGGAATAATCGTAAGAATCAAACGTAGCGCTTGAAACGGATTGGCCAGTTTGAGATCCTGACTTTGGTAGGGAATTCAAACCAGGTGATTGCTGTATTATGAACGAGTTTGAATGGGCTAATGGATATGGTGGATTTTGCCCTGTGTTTTCAAAATTTATTACATTTTGGTTATTCAATTGATTGGTAAAAGGTGTGTTGCTCTGGGATCTAAAATGCTCATTGAGGCTCACCATGGAGTTGTTTTGCCTTTCTAAGTGTCCATTAGAGAAGCTATTAAGTATTGTGGATGGTCCTATTGTTTGTAGTGGCGAACTTGATGAGTAGTGGCTGTCAAAGGATGAGCTAATATGATTATTGTTATTATTGTTATTATTATTATTAATGTTAGCTTCACTTTCCATTTGCATTAATAGTGTACCTTGTGATGCGAGTGAAGGAGTATGGCTCCTGGAGTCTCCATGCAACATGGTGATTTGACTTTGAGTATCTGAGTGAAATGAATTCGAAAAATTGAGTGCCGGACCGTCAAATGCCATTTGGTCTAATTGAAATGAAAATGCACCTTCCGATTCCATATGTGATTCCAATGGCTGCTTCTTCGCCGCTGCCAACGATGCAGACAAGTTCGAGTGTGGTTTAATACTAGTGACCAAGGGAGAAAAGTCAGCAGGTCTCTTTTTGGTACTAATAGAATTATTAGTTTGGCTATTATTGTTGCTGTTGATTGTGCTATTGCTTGTATTTTCTAACTGTGCCATTTTCTGGATATGGGATTTGTAGTCGAATTCATCGAAACCGGGCGATGCAGATCTTGATGTAACATCACTAGACGAAAAGCTGGTTTCTGGTTCACTCTTAGATTCTTTAGCTCTTTTGTAATCCTGTTGGTTGTTGACGTACATCATCCTCCACGTCAAATTCTCCATGCGTTCTTTGTAAGGTAACAGTTCTCTCGCTTTGCTATACATTTTCCACAAATTTTCCGTCACCCCCTTTTCTAGTGGATTATCAGGCTTCCTCTTATTGGCATTTTCATCATTTAAGCTGAAGTGGAATTTGTTAGTCAATAGCCGGTCTCTACCTTGAATCTGTCGTGTCCGACTATACAGTTGAGAATTATTTGCATCAATATTCATCTCTAGGTTCTGCCTCTATAACGTAGCAGTTTAATCAATAATAATGTGATTATCTTTTAGAGCTATATTCACTCTCCAATAATCAATTAATAGTAAAACAAACGGTTTATTTTGTCATAACTTGTCGTTTTAGTCTAATTGAATTCCAAGATGTCAATCAATAATCCCGATAAAACAGTGGTAGCATCACACCTCTACTATCGGAATATCAAGCAATTTTTAATTGGCTCGATAACAACTGATTATCGACATTTCGAGATTATGCTTCAATGATAAACGGCTAGCTCAATTAGGGTTTTGTTCCGTCCACCTATTGAAGTACACGTCCTGTAGACAACAAAAATAGAACTGAAACCAGCGCTTTATGTTAATTGGCCGATGTATAGTGTTGACACCAGCATATTTCGCTAGCTTACATCCTAAAAACCGCCTGCAATTAAGCCGCTTAACTTTTTTTAATAACTGCAGAAGGTTCAAGTTCATCCAACTATAAACATGTAGGTCCTTCTAAAAGGTTGGCCCATATGTGGGTTATGGCATCATAATAAAGCTTATGTCCGGAAAAATTTGGCTGGAGATAACCCTGTGAGCAGACATAAGCGAAAATTGACCATCGCGATTATTTAGTACCAATTTATATATATAGTTCATTAACTATGCCATATTATGCAGTAGCTAAAGGTATAAAACCAGGCATCTATACAAGCTGGAACGTATGTAAACAAAACGTTAGTGGTTATAAAGGTGCAGTTTTCAAGAAATTTGTATCTGTTAAACAGGCCCAGCAGTTCATTGAAAGCAATTCATCTACGACACCGTCACCGCAAACAGCACGATCCCCATATGGATCGAAGCTTTCCAATTCATCCAATTATACAGGAACAATCCGGACTAGTAGCGCTAGAAATGATTTTCAAAATATAAAGCTTGAGTATCACGAATCGGTGCCTCATTTGAAGGTTTCACTAGGAGCAGAATATCACAGTCGAACGGCAAAGTTTACTAGCCAGAGCAATAAAGTAGAAGATTCTGATATTAAGATTCAGAAAATTTATGTTGATGGAGCTTCGCGAGGTAACGGGAAGATAAGAATGCCTATATCTGGGTATGGTGTTTTCTACGGTGCCAATGATGAGAGAAATGGTGCTATATCACTCAATCAGATAGACGACGTAAACACCAATAAACCAACAAACCAAAGGGCAGAATTATTTGCTATTAAACACGCCCTAATTGATATTGCTAATGAGATAATCGAGTGTAATGAAAAGATTAGCACGAAGTATGAGATTTATTCTGATTCCCAATACGCTCAATCTTGTATAACCAAATGGTGCGATGAATGGATGAAAAACAACTGGAAAACTTCACAGGGTAAACCTGTAAGTAATAAGGACATTATATCTAGCGTTATACCTATTCTAAACTACATTAATCAGTATTACAACAAGCATCATTTTGGAGACTTACAGTTTTTCCATGTTAGAGGCCATAAAGGTGATTATGGCAATGAAATGGCAGATAGACTAGCTAATATAGGTGCTGATAATATGGAAAAGGAATTAAATGCCGAATAATATCAACACTTTATAGCTTCTTATTGTATATAGTATTGCTATCTGTAAAATACATTTATACTAGATGATTTAAGCCTGCATATATAACATCGAAATATTTCACCACGATGATGAAGCAGCCTAAGAATACTAAATACTAGCCAGCCATGAGTGCTTACGCAGCTTTGCAAAAGATGTCAGGCACAACATCGGTTCTCTATGGAGCTAGTGGAGAGTCCGACAACGAGAAGGACAATGAGACAATAGGATACCTCAGAAATTCTTCCGATGAGGAAGCGGAGGAAACAGAGATTCCTATTATACCAACCACAACACCAACACCAAATATAATACGAACACCTTCCATAGTACCGAGGGTTAATAACTTTATATGCGAGTCAAATTTTATTCCAAATGACGATAACTTTATTGTATTTCATGATCACATAATTATTGGTCTTAAAGCAAATGAATATATCCTAATTAATGGACAATGCAAGATGACAATACAAAGAGGAGCTATATTAATAAACACTGGACATTATGTGTTTGCCCATCCTAATAACTGTATACCGATAATTGCATCTCAATCTCAGTCGTTGCCTATTATTTCGAGTACACAGGTAGTTGATCGTAGTGGGATTAAAGATACCAAGACAGAGGAGAACATTCATTTATTTTCAAGTAACTATAAATCAGTCATTAAATTGGAAAATTTCTATACTGGCCTTGAGAAGATAGGGTCCTATCATCCACCGTTTAAGCGCTTTTTTTATAGCAAATCTCTAGGTGAAGATGAAGAATTGACTGAATACGAAAGGCTATTTAAAACTTATTCATTTGAAATTATATTAAAGGATCGTGGTTGTATTGGAATTAGTATAGAAAAATTGTGGTTAAATCAGATCCAACTGCTAATAGCCGATATTAATGAGGACTTGGTTCCAAAAATCATTATGATTATAGGAAACAAGAACAGTGGGAAATCAACGCTTTCAAAGACTTTATTAAACTCTCTTATATTGGACAACCAAAATGCTGTATCATATTTAGATTTAGACCCAGGTCAATCTGAATTTTCTATTCCTTACTGTCTCTCGCTTACGAACCATTCTAAACCGATTGTCGGTATGAATATACCGAAGACCTCAGGAGATGAGGATAGCATATCACATTATTATGGCTTTACTACCCCCCAAAGTCAACCTTCACAATATGTTTCTATTATTAAAGCTTTATTCCAAGAATATGACCAAACTTATAAACCTAGAGGAAACCATCTAATCATCAACACCCCTGGATGGATTAAGGGTTATGGGAAAGAATTGTTACACGAATTAACAGCATTTATCAATCCAAATCAATTAATTTTATTATCAAATAATACAGATACTGACAACATGGATAATTCAGATAATTTGAATGGCTTAACATTTCAAAATTCTCGCTGCTTTCAAGGAATATACCAAACATCAAAATATTCACCTTTCCAGTTGAGAATGTTTAATAAGTTATCTTATTTTCACCAACTAGCTGATTTGAAGTTTGACTTTAATATTCATATTTTATTACGTTCCCCTTTGAAAATATCATATGAAACAGCCAATTCTCCTAAAACTTTCAAAGGTATAAATATGATTTCAGTATTAAATTACGATGTGGGGCTCAATTTTGAATTAAACGATTTATTATCCATGATTGATACTTCGATAATGGGCTTATATTTAATAGACCATGAGTATTATTCATCAGTAAAATCTTCAATAAAAAGACTGGGCGATTGTCATTATTTGCCCCAATATTTGGACTCGACTGATTACACCAGTCTAATCAATTACAGCTCTTCATATAACGTGTTTATGGGGCTTTGTATGGTTCACAGCATCAATACCACGGATGAGTTTTTTAATATTTATTTACCTAACAATAATCAGACTCAACTCACAGAAATGATAACTAAAAAAGACTACAAATTACTTTTAGTCAAAGGTGATGGTGACATACCTAGTCCAGAATTACTAATGTTTGACATGCTACTTAAACAACAAGAAGATATAAAGAAATTGAATAAAAGGAGAAGGAAAAACCCAAATCTAGATGATAAAGACGTATTGAAGATTCCATATGTGACTTTTGAAAATAAAAATAAAATTGGAGGAATTTGGAAAACAAGAAGGAATGTCATGAGAAGGGGTCATCAGAGATAATGTATTATTCCGTAGCTATAACATAGAGATGTATATATTTCATAGAGTATTATATATTAACCGAACCTGCATATTGGTATATAATTTAACAGATCAACGCTTCGACATATGAAATGATATGATTAAGACCACCGTATTTAATCCAAGATAACTCTGAGAATGATTAGTAAGGGCATGTTTATATTCTTCTTATGGTTATCAAATATTTTTGGTGTAGGTCTCGCCATTATACCTAATGTTGATAATATAGACAGATCGAATTCCAATAGTCAACACAACGAGCCAGGCCATTTATCGTTGCCAAACTTATTACACGCCAATAATATCAATGATTTAGATTTAACTTGGGATGTTCTTTCTAATGTCAAATTGGATACGGGTAGATTAATTATCGATAATAATAATGGAGCTGTTTGGTCGAAAGCGCATCTAGCCAATACAGTAGACGAATGGACGATTGAAATGGTTTTCAGGTCTTCGGGTACTTCAAAAAAAGACTTGGCCTTTGGAGATACTAATGGGTTGGCTTTATGGTTAATTGATTCTTCGAACTCGTTACCAATTAATGTCAAAAATGTGGATAATTTTGGAGGACCTTCTCAATTCGATGGATTTCAATTCTTGGTCAATACAAGAGAAAAGAGAGGATTAAAGATATTTAACAATGATGGTACCAAAACTTTGGGAAACACAATCGACCAATCTATCGGTGACTGCTCTTTCAATTACTTAGATTCTCTGGTTCCATTTACTATGAGAGTTTCTTATTCTAAACGGAGAAAGTGGTTTAAGGTGCAGATTGATAACAACTTATGTTTCAAAACTGATCAAATCATCCTTCCAAACGACTTGAATGATTTTATGTTTGGTATTACAGGTAATATTAGTCCATCATCTCAAGAGGCATTTGAAATATTGAAGTTAGATGTTTGGACCCACTTAACTGAGGATGCAATTGACGATCATGCGTTGATGTCGGATGGCCATTTGAAAATTGAATATAAGACTGTGACAGCTGATGATCCAAAAGACACATATATACCTCCTTCTAAAATAAGAGAATCTCTTATGGAGAGGAACAGAAAACACAGAGAAGAAATATTACGTCAACAAAGAGAAGCTCAGCAAGAAGGCAACAAAGATAATAAAATAGACATGTTATTAAATGACATCTCCTTCAAATTAGAGAATCTTGAATTGAGACTCTCGAGCATGGATTCCTCTGTAGGCTCAGGCGATACTTCTTATGACACGAAGGTCTTAGGGGCTCAACTTAAAGATATTACAGCCATTCAAGCTCAGCAACAAGAGGCCTTATTCAATTTGCAGCAAGGCTATGATAAGTTTAAGACCACTCTTGGCCACCAGTATACTGAGTTACTACAAGCTGTCTCCAAATTAAACGAAAAAGTGATTGGTGAAGTTAGAGAACACCAGTATAGTACTGAAGAATTAAGTAAAAAAGTCGATTTATTGATGTCGAACCATAAAGAAGTGGCGTATCAATATCAAAACGGAAATAATGATTTCAAAAACAACGACTCTGATTTATTACCATCTATTATTAGATGGGTATTAATACCAGTAGTAGTTGGAATTATTCTATTAACTATTGTCGTTTACAGATTGAGACATGATATCAAACATTCCAAGCTACTTTAAAGACTCTTAGTTCGCGACTATATAAGGCTGTAAATATTTCAATTATAGTATATAAGTTAGATTGTTTTGCATTAAAAGTACATGACTTTATTAGCGCTATAGAAATAATATTTGTTCAGTCGACAATTATAACTCCTTCATCATTGTTATCCCTATCGTCCTTCTCGCTTTTGCCTTGTTTTTTCCTTTTATCATTGTCTTTAGCAGGAAGCTCTGGGGGTGGAGTTGGCGAGTCAAATTTCGACGCCATATCTTTTACCGAAGTCTTTCTTTCTAATCCTTGTACAAATCTTGGTTGAGTCAAATCAGAGCACGAGCCACTAGGGGATTCATTGGACGAGCTATTAGAATCTTTATTAATCACAATATCCTTCTTGCTAGGTTTCGATGAGACAATAATTCTCTGAGAGTTAGACGAGCTATTATTACCGTTTGAATCTTTCAAGTATGTATTTAGTTTCTTTTTATTAGGTGAAGTTGAGCGCCTAAGGGACGTAGGCGCGGACTTTTTTGGTGTTGATGGGGGTGGCGTTGAAGGAGGATCAGGTCTCTCGCTGCTGTACACTGAAGGGCCAATATTATCAGATTTGTTGGACTTTGGACCGCTATCAGCGTCTTTAGATATGGAAAAATTTGAATTTGATTCATTCGCAGTATTTTTCTTAGAATTATGAACAGCTTTCTGCAATTTTGATTCTAACCTACTTTTCCTGTTATCTTGTGCTGACAGCACACTTCTTGTTGTCTTGGTAGAACTTTCTCTGGTTGGGTTATTTGATCTTGAAGAATTCCTTCTTCTTAATTCTTTAAAAATGGTATCCTTGTATTCGAAAAGATCATTAATGAAGGTATATTGATGTTTATCATTGATGTAACTTGATGAGTTGTTAGAACCATCGAAACTTAACAAGTCTAATTTTGGTCTTAATATCAAGTTTGCAAATTCTTTTGATAATTTTAACTGAAGACTTTTTGATAATTCTTCGTTTTTGGATCCGATGATGTTAATCAATCTACTCAAATGAGTCAAAATTGCATCCAAAGTAGCCAAGCTACATTTAGGCAAATCAACCAAAAGATTTTGTAAACCATTAATTCTAGATTCATTAACGGTAGAATCATCACTATTAACAGGGTAATTCTGGTATAAGGACTTAATCAAATCATAGTAGTCATGGGGAATTACAGAATCAGGCAATTCCATAAAATACAACTTTAAAACATTCGTTATAATCATTGGATGTGTACCAGACAATATTTCATTAATTTTAGATGCATCATTGGTATCATTAAGTTGAAATCTCAATTGATGAACTTGAGTCAAATGAATTGGCATTGTCCATAAATTTATTCTTTCTTGATCATTAACTAAATCAGGATAAACCTTATCCAAATGGGATAATATGCACTGAATTATTAAGGGAACCACTTTACGATCCAACCTTGATTTAACAGTCAAATCCACACCAAAAGTTTGCTTGATGTTTGAGTTATAATAATTATCGTATAATACAACCTGTGGTTTAAACTTACCAGTAGCGTAGTTCTCAATTAAGAATTTCAAATCACTCATTGGATGAATAGTTTCTTCTAAAACCAATAACTCATCACATATTTGTTTCATAGTGTTAACTTTATTGGCAAAACTGGCAATGAAATCGAAGGTAACTTTTTTGATAGCTTTCAATCTATCAAGCTCACATTTTTGCATGAAGGTCAAATGATCCATGATTATTTCTTCTAATTCACATCTAATCTTATCTAAGTTAACAGTGCTTTTATAATATTGCTCATCAAGGGCGTTCACATCTACAACCAATTTAGACAATTGTGACTTATCCTTATAATCAATGCTAGTAACACCCATGGCTTGCTTCATATCTTCAAAGTAATCTGCAAATTGAGAGCCTTTAGCAGCAGTGGAAGAAGTTCTACTCAAAGCACTGTCGGCCTCCGATATAACACTCTCTAATTCTGAGATTTTAGTAATTTCAAACACAATTGGTTTCCACTGGTAGAAAAATTGGGACGAATTAATAAAATTCTTCCCACCGCTCATAGATCCAATAAGTCTTATAAAGCCATTATTGACCAAATCTTGACCAAATATTTCAGCTTTTGCAATATTTCTATTCAATTCTTCCATGTTATCTAATAACCACTGTGTTATAGCACTTCCGGACGATACATTATTGTAAGTTCCCAATATTGGAACTTTATGCGACGTCAATTCTATGTTCTTGAGGATGGTGGTAAGGAGCGCCTTCACAGACTTGTTATCGTATTTAGTACCACCTAAATCATAGACTGTTCCATCAGCCTCGCCCTCTTCTTCCTTTGTTTCAATGTTATCGGCGAATTCAAGGTCCTTCAATTCCTCATTAATCTCGTCTTCGGTGTAATGGGATTTGAACTCCTCGAGCATTCTGCACCTATTGAAATATCTCTTTTGCAATTTCTCCAAATTGGTTTTCGAATTCTTAAACGCCTTATACTTGTCAAAAAGCACCGATTCCGAATATTCAACCCTTTGCTTATGTTCCTTGCACCACTTGGAAAATGGATCAAGCACTAATAATTGTATATTGGATCCAATTTGCAAATGATATCCTGCCTGCTTATTGAAATTTTCATTGATTTTCTGATAAGCATTCTTAATTGATGATACATAATCGTCGTTATTTTGCCTCTTACTACTAGATTTCAGGCTCTTTTCTATGGATTCCAATTGTGTTCCATATATTATTTCCAGCTCCATTCGCTTGGTAAACAACTGAATAAAATCATCATTTTCATTCACTCCTTCATGAAGTTGGTCAAATAAGATCTTAAATCCCAGATGATAATCCTGTGTCCAGAAACTATCGGCAAAAGACATTATTCTTACGTATTATTCCAGATATTATTCACCTATATTTACCAATCTACTATATAGTAAGGACACTAGTACAATGTTCGAGGCACGCGTTTTATGTTAAAATGGTAAATGCACAATATTTTCTTCATATCGGCCATAGCATACAATACAATTAGGGTGAAGAATGTTCTATTGTACACGAACTGTACATATTGAATTGATTTATAATAAACAGGATATTGGGCTGGATGAAAAACAGAACAATTGAGTGTGAACGCCTCTTCACGTCTGTAGCACAGCACCTAGGGTGGATGCAAAAAAGTCAAACTTTCTTCGAGTAATAACTACAAAAAGCATTCTATTATTTTCTACAGTGCAATGTAATCTATGTTATCCTATATGTTAGAGACGAAACGTACGTAGCTTTCTCCTTGGTTCGTTATCAGAAATCAAATAAATCTATTAAATATGGCAAAAAAAGCTAACCTGCAGAACCGAGCGACTTCTACAGGTTTTCATTAAATTTCTCTTTATGGAATTAATATTAGTACTCTTGGGACAATTTTTAGTCGTGAAAGATAGGATTGTAATCATTTAAATGCTGTATCTGAACGAGATAGGGAGGTCTCCTCGGACTCCTCCACAAAATGGCAGCCAAATAGAAACGACAAGTGGTAAATTTGGTGTTGATGGCCCGCAACAAGGGTTTGTGAATGCTTTAAATACGCCTGTGACGGAAAGTAGGAGATCAGTTAAAATTCTTGAAATACCATCCAAAGAAGAGTCTGAGATAGACAAAAAAGATGAAGGACTTGCAGAAGAACCGATGACACCGGTTTTGACGCCAAAGAAAAAGAAAGGGAACCGGGCACATCAGAAAGGTTCTATTTCAAAGTCTATTAATGCTACACCTAAACTGACTAGACCATCAGAGGTAGTTTCTCCAAGTATAAACCGATATAGTCTCAAAAAAAAGATACGACCCATATCACTAGGCTTACAGTTGTCGCTTGCTCAAGAAGACCTGAGTTCGGATGAGGCCACTGAGACAAATTACGGTCACCAGATAATAACGCATACCGAAGGTATAGGAAATGAAGAGCAAATTGCGACACCAAAAGGTAAAATAATAGATGATCGTCTTGTGAATGAATGGCATGGGAAATCGTTGAACAATGAATTCTCATCTGATGAGGAATTTTTGGACTATGAAAACATGATGCTTGATAATGACATTTTGGATGCTAATATTAATAGACCTTCCAAAACTAACAAAGAACAAATACACAATCCATTCGGGTCAGCTCCATTTAATTTGAACACCAAAACCAATATACCCACAACCCCAGTTGTTGACTATTCAACACATGCTGAGTATTTCAATAATAAAACCGGTGAACGGATAGTAAGGGAATTGACAGAAGTTGAGAAACGAATAAAGCCAAAGAAATTAAGTTTCGAACCCGTAACAGAAGCGAGTGATCAATCCGATGAACTACACCAACCCTCAATTGAAGATTCTGGTAATCAAGATACAAGCGTTGGCAACAAGTTTCTTTTAAACAATTTAAATAGATTTATGGTCGATTCCAAACCAAAGAATAGCCTAGGTTTCGAAATATTCAAGGATAACGGAAATTAACTAAATTATTGATTATACTACTTATTAATACACTAATATATATTCTAGTCATGTTTATACTTTCTCATATTATCCCAACCTATAGCATTTGCATTTGGAAGTTTAACCACTTCAACTTTATTTAATAATTCCGGATTATTAACATCAGGGTAGAGTGCTGTGTAATATAGAGGATTCTTGATTGAACGAGAATCAGTATTCTTCGAATCTTCATCCCGCAATTCAACCGGAAGATTGGATAATATTTCTCTATGAGCTGAAGGATGAACGAACTTATCTGCCAACGTAAAGCTTTGCATCTGTGGATTGAATTGTACGCCAGCTTTTTGCGCTTCAGCCTCAAGAGCTTCTTGTTTTGCCTTTTCTTGAACTTTTTGTTTCTTATTAACGGATAATTGTTCAAAATCGATAAGTTTAAACTTATAATAGTTTGTCCATGTTTCATCCGCCATCTCCCTATATGTATTCAATAAAAGATTAAATTGCAAATTATTATGTAGCATTTCTAAATTAACACAATCGTCAGTTTGTTCTCTTTGTTTATTGAGTATAGATTCCACAAGTGGTTTGTTGAATCTATCGTGCATTAATCCCTTAACATTGGCATTATACCTTTTATTGTTGAGTTTAGCGATATCTTTTGTAACTTTATGTGGAGTTTTGATAGCCTTAGAATTTGAAGCCATAGGAATTTTATTCATTTTACTGATCAAGGCAGCGTCCTTGTAGTTTCCACTGCCCGGACCTCTATAACTCTTGGTATAATAATATTTTGCATGGTTATAATTATCACTTTCGTTGGTAAATACTAATTGTTGAACATTTTTTGCAAGCTTGACATTATCACCGAGTAATAAGGAAGAGCCCGATGATGAGCCAATTGGTTTCTTCATTTCTTTCAAAATAGCGGCCGATGACCCGGCATTTGGGGTATTGGTAGTTACAAAATAATTTGGAACTCTGCAGAAATGGTTTACATTAAATTCCTGAATATACCCTTGGCCTGGTATTATAGACTCCGTGAGGTCTATAGTATTAGGGTCAACATTAGTATTGTGCTTCTTTGATCTTCCAATTGGCTTTCTTTTCCGCCTCTTATCTTTAGCTTGGCTTTCGTTTGTCCTTTCATGCTCTAAGACTTCAATCAACGAATAATCGTATTCTCTGTAAATTAATTCTCTTTCATTGATAAATAATTTGCTGTTCCCTAAAAATTTTTGATAAGCAGGCGTACTCTTATAGTAATTAAATTTGGTCAAGTTGGTCAAGGAATTAAACGAAGAGTGATTCAACTGCGACGAAAAGTCCACCAAGCCATATTGTGGGAATACCTGACTAATAGTTATTTTATCATCGCCCAAACCAGCAGCCCTTCTATTCACTTCTATATTATCCTCGTCATCCACGGGAATATCATCTCCAATAAGTACTTCTTTATTGGATACAACCAGATATAAAAATTTAGCATCAATGTAAAATAACTTAAACTTCATTTCTGATTCTTCTATTAGATTCTTCTCCAACAACCATTCGTTTATGGTGGAGTCGGTGGTGCGTAAAAACTCTCCTTTGTTCACTCCTGTACCTTTCACAAGATGCTTAATTAGCTGATAGGATGATGGGTAATTCCATATTTTGGCTAGGTCTTTCACGAGAACTTGATAACTATCGTTCAATAGGAATAGAGGCACTTTGAAAGAATTTAATGACTCGGCATAATCGTCGCCCGCAGGAGGACAAACCTCTACTTTCACACGCTTGAAGCTGCCAGTAGGCACCTCTACGTTTGACTTGACATATATGACATCAACAGGATCTTGTCTTGGTACCATAGCGTTGTCTCCTATCTCTTCTCTTCACTATGCTATTACGGCCCATTTCTGTATCCATACTTGAAAAACATATCATAAATAGATACTGCATATAGACATTTTAGGTCCCCTTCTAATTTTGGCCTACCAGACCCCGTAATGTTGGTTTCCATGGCCAGCAAATCCACAGGTACTAGTACTCCAGTGTGCTGAACCATCTCCCAGGCATTTCCGGTTCACAAATACCCTGTTTGTACTGCTATCTCTGATAGGAGTCGCAACCCCGTTCTAGACGGACCTTCTTCCGCTTAAGGAAGAATGACAATACAAACCCTTTACAATCGGGACGCGACCCTTAAGTAATTATGAGCATATTCGCTCATATGGTTGTATAACAGGACTGCCTCCTACAACGAAGCAAACGACCTATTACTTCAGAACCCACTGGAAAAGTTAGACATCTGCAATCCTATAGTGATACACTAACCGACTGGCCAAGCCCGAGACTTCTTCAGCCCGAGTTCCATTCGATTTGTAAGAGCCTGATTGTGTTAGTATATCCTGTACATAAGCCGTTCTCAAATTTTCAGCAAAAATTGAAAACTTAACGATTGGAATCGATCTCTCATGGGAGAACAAATATATTTCAATAAATAAATTAGATTTAACGATTAATATATCTAATTAATACTAGTTAATCGGCAAATATAGTTTACAACGATGGGATTATCCTTTTCTAAATTGTTTTCTGGTCTTTTTGGCCGTAAAGAAATGAGAATTTTAATGGTTGGTTTAGATGCTGCTGGTAAAACCACCATTTTATATAAGTTGAAGTTAGGTGAAATTGTTACCACTATTCCAACTATTGGATTCAACGTTGAAACCGTTGACTATAAGAACATTTCTTTCACCGTCTGGGATGTCGGTGGACAAGATAAAATTCGTCCATTATGGAGATACTACTTCCAAAACACACAAGGGATTATTTTCGTTGTTGATTCCAACGATAGAGACCGTATTGCTGAAGCCAGAGAAGAATTACAACAAATGTTGAACGAAGACGAGTTGAGAGATGCGTTATTATTGGTGTTGGCTAACAAACAAGATTTACCAAACGCCATGAACGCAGCTGAAATCACCGAGAAATTAGGATTACACTCGATCAGACAACGTCCATGGTACATCCAAGCCACTTGTGCCACTTCGGGTGACGGGTTATACGAAGGTTTGGAATGGTTATCCACCAACTTGAAGAATTCTGCTTAATTTTATTATAGGTCATGTAAGTCATTCTATAATAAGATTTAATTTTAATCGTCGAAAATGTGATAATGTTGGTTCTGCGGTCCATCCTTGATGCATGTCAAAGACCGAATTGATGTTTCATGTTTATCCATTTATTTTATATCACTAAGAAATCAATTTTTGTTAATCCGCCAACTTTCCGGTGTGTTCGTGTCCTGAATACTGCCGTGGTAGTTGTACCATGATGTAGCTAGCTTACTATCTATATAATTAATCAACCCTTTGAATAATAGATGATTGTTGGTTTACTATCGTTGCATATCCATGGAATTACGTAGGATCTATATACTTTCTGACAATTCTGTAATATTTGCTACTTCATGACGTTTTTCGACCACGTATCCACAATCGCACCGTTCTCTACGCCTATTTCTCATTAAGCAATCATCGAAAGATCTCCATATTGCAACCGTGCCATATCAACATCCCTCCTAGTGTTAGTTGTATATAAAGTTTCTCTATTATAACTTCAGGCTTGTAGGGCACCGTAGGCTTCGCCGTGGGTCGATTCGTTAAGACCGAGACCAAAAAAATGTGTTACACTAGTTACAAGAGCTGAATATTTTACCCATTTTTCCCGTATTTCAGATATATTCTCTAATCTGGTGACAGATAGCGATGCATATTCATTGCTAAGCTTAAATAGTCCTCTTAGTTTAATATAATAATTCGTTGATTCTGCTCCATATAAATGAATTTACTACCCCATATTATATACAGTTTTTATAAATTCCTCGGTTGAAGTTAGCCAACCCCCCCTCCATCATATGCAAAACCAATAGCCATATATATAAGGAGAAAATGCCCAAAGATGTCTAAATTCTAGTTGAAAGAACAACTTCTTAATTAAATTCAAAATGTCCGAAGGAGAAGATATTTTATACGAAGTCAGAGGAAAAGTCACCATTATCACTTTCAATATTCCAAAGAAGTTGAATGCATTGAATGGGGAACAATATTTGTTGTTAGCCAAATTGATTGAAAGGGCAGACAGGGAAGAAGATACCGTATTGACATTAATACAATCTACTGGAAGATATTTCAGTGCTGGAGCTAATATTGCTGACAAGGGTTTATCGAATGTCGACCCAGAGCATCTTTTCAGTCATGAGTACTGGTTAGATAAGTTTGTGGCCAGAAACGTGTATTTGACAGATTTATTCCATAATCATACCAAGATTTTGGCTGCTGCTGTTAATGGACCTGTAATTGGGTTATCGGCAGCAATGTTAGCGTTATGTGACTTGGTCTACGTTATGGACGAAACTAAGTTCTTCTTGTTAGCACCATTTTCCAATTTGGGATTGGTTGCTGAAGGTGCTGCTAGTGCAACATTATTCTTGAGATTGGGCTGGTCCAAGTCTGCTGAAGCCTTATTATTGGCTAGACCAATTCCAGGTACCGAATTGAACAAGTTAGGATTCATCAACAAGAATTACGGCGATGTTAAGTTCGACTCTGTTGAACAATTCAACCAAAGAGTACACGATGACTTGGTTGGTCAGTTCAAAGGTTTGTACGAGCCTTCTATATTTGCTAACAAGCAATTGTTAAAGGCTAACAGAGACCAGCTAATCAACAGTGCTAACTCTAGAGAAGTCATTAAGGGTTTCAATAGATGGGTAAAGGGTGTTCCTCAAGAAAGATTTATGAAATTATATCAAAAGGATATCCAACATAAGATGTAAATGTTTATATATGCTATGTTAATGTTATCTAGAATCATCATATAAATAAATGCCATGATTTTATAATAATTTGCAGACTGTAATTTTGTAGCATTCTAGCTCTAAAAATCTCGCACAGCTTATCATAAAATGTGTATAAATAAATCGAGAGTGGAAAGGAATTATGAGTCTCAATCTACCCAATCCTAGTATATTGGGGATTCTATTAGTGGTATCGACTCACAGTGGTCCTCAATTGGTATTTCAATATCCGCCTGATTTATCGAATGATTCCAAAAAAAATAGCAGTTTGAAACGAACTAACAAGGTTTCAACTTTGCAAAGTAGGGTTAGTGACACAGAAGACGATATTGATGACGATGATTACATTGCAGACAAAGAAAACGATGAGGAGTACATGAATGAAGATAGTGATGAAAGAGAATGGGATTCAAGAAAAATGAACTATTACTTGGGAACTAAGAAGGATTTACTTCTGTTTCTAGATGAGCAAGAGAAGTTTCGTCAAAAGCCACAAGGATGGAACAATAGTCATAGTCATGAGCAAACTAATATACAAATGAACTCAGATGATAAAAGCTCTTTGCGTCGTAAAAGCAAACCAGGTTCTTCTGATAAGCAAATAGACTCCCCAAAGCTTGATGCAACAAATTCAAATAATTTAAAAAAGACGATATCCAGTATATCGGATTCCCAGAAAAGCAACACATCAAAGAGTTCAGTAAGTGGAGCTCCTCCTGTATCTCCTATTACGAGTAGTACAATTCTTGGGTTTGAAGCTGATTACTTATGTGAGATGCTTTGTCCTCCAAAACAAATGTGTAATTCAAGATTTGAAATTATGATCGATGATTTAGTGTTCTTAGGATTGCCTATTCACAGTTACGACAATGGTTCTTGGAGATCCAAACATTCTCATCGCCCCAAATCTGGAAAACTGTCTAAGGGAAGGTTTAAGAATGCTACTGATAATGCCAGTATTGATAATGAAAAAACAGATTACGAAAACACTTCTAAAAGTCAATCAAAAAATGCTATGAATATGTTTCACCTAGTTTTTATAATGAACCCACCTATTATCGAATGTAACTATCGTATTGATGAGATGTTTCACTACGTTATATCAAGATTATCTCTTGTATTAAGATATGAACAACTGAAACATGAATATGTTTGGAATCAGATCCGTTTGATATATAATTTAAAAGAAGAGTTTAGAAATCAAACAACTACACTGAATCTAACAAGATATTTAACTGACAAATCGTCATTGTGTAAATTAATATCAGACTGCTTTATTCAAATCTCAAGGTCTAATATTGCCAATCTTTCAATAAATAATAAATTAAGGTCATTTCAAATTCCAATCAAGACAGAGTTTCATTCATTACCAGATTCTACTGTGCCATATTTGCCAGGTTCTCATTTATCATCCACTGTAAATATGTTAGCTAATACTGGACTTATTAGCGTTGGTGAAACCGTAAGGTATGATAATGTAAATAACTTGAATGGCGGCACACTTGATGATATTGTTGATATTGATGACAATAAATCAGACTCAAATGCTGATGATATCATATATTATGCTTTATTGTTATTGGATGACCCAGAAACTATAATCAGAGATATTAAAGCTCAACAACAGAGTACCCTCGCGAATTTTATTAGAATGATTAAACCGACTGAATCCCTATTAAAGCTAGCTAACAAATTGAAGCTGCAAGCCAGTGATGATGGATTTAGTTTAGATGTTGGACAAATCAAATCCTTTGCTTTTCATTTAATATATTGGAGAAGAGCTCGGGTTATCCTCCCAATAGGCACAAGATCCGTCTACATCGTTTCGCCGATGGCCCCTATTACGCTTAATTTTCATCATGATATCTTTATTTTCAAAAGAACATTTCCAGCACTACCATCATTACCGCATTTCTTGAAGCTTTTGTCAAATTCATCAAAGCCGAGACAATTAGCCACCATTATTCCCTCTAAAGATCATCGTGACGCATACCTTAACGCCCTAAGCTGGTTGATTAGATATGGATATGTTACCCAGTTACATACTTTTATTTGGCTAAAAATTTCTAGGAAAGTGAAAATGAAGGTTGAAGAAGACTTAGAAAATGAAAGTGCCAATAATAAGAGAAAAAAATCAAGCGTTTCATCTGACCCAAATACATCTAGCAAAATCAATTCCGGTACAGATAATACTTCAAAGACAGAATCCAATCAGGAAGCAATCCAGCGCAAAATGTCGCTATTGAAGATAGTAAATAAAAACACCGATAGTAATCCAAACTCTTATGATCAGGAAATAGACAATATTGAAAAGAAGTTGGTATCACCATCTACAGGTATCAATATTGTTTTAGAGGAAGAAGGAGATACAATAATAATTGATCCTGGGCGTGCTTCCTCGTTGGAAAGAAGATGGATAAATAAAGTGATTTCAGAAGAATGCAGCCTCTCATCAGAGTTAACGGTAAAGTTCTACGACCTATTAAAATATATGAATGGCAAGAATTCATTAGAACTTTTGCTATTAAAAGAAAATGTTTCAAGGCAAGAGTTAAGAAAGCTATTGTTTGCGATTGAAGATCATATAATTTCAGTAAGGCATTGGTAAAATTTAGCCCTTACGAATTGTTGAAAACGTAAATATGTATTAGTACAAGTAATATACAAAATTATTCAGTCAAAATGAAATTAAGCAAATACATTTTCCTGGTTGGCTTCTAGCTCATTTCCTTCAACTTCATTAAAACTTGAAAAATGAATTGGCCTATGTAATTCGTGATAGAATGGAAGAGGAATATCAACCTTTAAATCATACAAACCGTTGGGATCCCAAACTGGGCCGATAAACGAATAGTTCCATATATCATCATCAGGCACCATAAAGAGTCCAACAATACGATCTGACAATAATAACAGGCTCTTCTGACTAAATGATGCTGAATATCCTTCGGGTGCTTGTGAAATCAAATCCTTATTTGTTGAAGCCCAATCATACCCTGCCCCTGACAAGGTATATGCCGCAAGAGAAACTGATCCTGGCGTAAACGAAACAGTTAATGTAACAGCCTTATCACTCCATAAGGAATTATTATCGTTCTTGAGCTTTGCTTGTGTAGCCATATCAATTGGCGATAATAAATTAGTGTCCTGAGACTGAGTGTGAATCCACCCTAAAAGCTCCAAACCCGTCAATGGGCCTTCTTGTTGCGGAAGCTTAGAAGGAAATTGTACCGAATGAGTATTGGCCAATTGAGGCACTAATGCAATCACTTTAATTTCTTTAATTTGTGGGTTATCGGAAGGTGAAGATCCATAAATAAATGCACCCACTTGAGTCCGTAAATCTGAAATTTGAATGAACTTCTTTAATAAATTTTTTGGCATGATATATGTAAAACTATCATCATCAATAAAGTCATCCGACAGAACGTATATATTTTTGGCACGTAAATGCAAATTATTGGACGCAATGGCACGATTTCTCCATTCGTTCTTAGATGCAAATGACAGTTGCTCGTAATTTGTTGTTGTGACAGTTACAATTTCTTCACCATGTACGTTTTGAGTCTTACTCTTTAATGCTGTTAACTGGTTATTACTATTTATTTCATCCTGGCCCAGTTTATTGTAACCTTCGACATCGGCAATTTCTTGCCTCTTTGTCGATGGAGCCTTAATATCTTGACCTAATATTAAATCACGAATTTCAGATTGTGTCAAAGATTGTATATTGATATCATGTTTCTTTGCAAAATCATTAAGTATCAAATCACGTAATTGAGTTTCAACATCAATCCACTGTTCATCCGTAAATGTGGGCCATATGTGATGCTCTTGAGTGATTACACTGGCATCAGGGCGTAATATCAAATTGGTACGCTCTTGACTAATCCCCAATGCTCTCAATAGTAATATTATACGCGAGAAAGCAGTATAGGCTGAAATACTTTTCAACCAATCATCATACAAGTTGAATAATACCATTTGTGGTTCGCTTGCTTTTAAGACAATATCAGCCAATTTATCAATTTTCATTGCAGATGCAAAAGGCAAGTGGAGCTCTGAAGGTCTTATCGATATATTTGGGAAATCTAACATATGAACCTCTAATGGATCCAACATACCCTTCCTAGTAACAATTAATTGTTTTGGTTGCTCTTCTCTTGGTAAAGAACGAACCAACGCAGCAACTTCTTCTGCCGTTTTCCACTTTGCCAACTGTCCCAAACGTTTCTGGCCTGCCCATACTGATGTATGAATAATCTTCAAAAATAATTGTCCAGTTTTAGGATTTAACATAAAGACCGAACCGTTGATAGGCTTCGTAGTTAAGTTACCTTCAAAAGTTTTATGAACAGTTACTCGATACACGTTGGTATCATCTATGAATAATTGAGTATCATTATTAAACAATTCAGCATAATTGTTCGAATTAAGAAATGCTTCCTGTGGTTGTGCTTGATATAACTGTAAGCCTTTACGTATCCGTTCTCTGAGAACATATAAGGCTGGATTAGATTTCATAATCTCTTTCATAGCATTTTGCATTAATGGCTTAAATCCAGAAAACCAATTACCATAGACATCATACATATTATATGCCAAATCAATACCTACCATTGCACCTGTTGGAGAAGGATATGCACTGCTACTATCTGTTGTATAGTCTAAGAATTTAGCCCGAGTATATCTTGAAATATCATGGGAATCATAGTCACCATACCTCAATTGCACATCAATCCAATATTTATTGGCAGTCGCTGCATCCATTGAATCATTACTATCATGTAAAAGTGATGGTCTTGATACGTTCCATTTATATGTACTTGTAAGAACAATATCCGCACAAGATGAGTTCATTTTATAAGACTTACGTGGGTGAATTGCTTGTTTTTCAACACTATCAATTTGCAAAACCTCTAGTTCTTTATCTAATACCTGGCAAACATCCTGAACTACACTTTCATGGATTTTCTGCCACAAATGAGCTCGGAATATTTGAATCAATGATATTTTAAGAGTTGGAATTTTACCATGTAAAAATATACCTGTTAAATCTAGTTGCACTAAGAACCCAACATAAACATTCGCACGATTGATCGTAGGTGACCACCACAAGGTGAAACGACGATTGGGGATTTGACTTAAGCCAGACCTTTGGGCATTTGTTAACTTCTTAAATTTCAATGAGTCTTCAAAACCCGACGCTTTCTCCCAAAAAAGGCCTTCCCAAGAATCAAAGCCAGTACCTTGGAATAATGTATGTTCTAGGATAGTCTCGATACCACCCAAAGCTTGAATAACATCAGTTCTATAAGCATTGAGATTCCATAATTTACCATCATGATGACTGCTGGTCCAAGAAAATGGGTTGAACCTCGGTAAACTAAATTGTTTAAATACCCTACGGATTCTGTGACCCTTGTCATATGCTAAAGTATGTCTATCCTTTTGGAACAACGTACTAATACGAGGCAAACCTCTATTCCAGTTACTTTCCATATCCTCAAACGTAAGACGACGATTCTGTTCTATAGCTTCTTGACGCTTAATAGCATATTCGGCCCAAACTCTCTGTGAGTCCAAAAATTCATTTTCCCATGTTGTAATATATCTAAAGATTGTTGGTATCATCTTTTCTTCCTGGTGATTCATTCCAGCTCTAAAATGGGTTATACCTGTATCCGTTTGTTTTGACCATCTTAAATCAGAAGCAGGAATTAAAATGTGAGAAGCACTCAACATGCCGAGTCCACCTAACTCTTTTGGTGTATAGAAAACAGCTGGTGGAAAACGCGATGGCATTTTAGAGTTCAATCCCATTTTAACCCTGTTCTGGATTTTTGTTTCACATTTGACTAAGATGTCGAGTAATGATTCTGTAGAAACAGCGGCCTCCCTGAAATACGCAAAAAGGGCGATTAAGGCCGTGTTCCACTTTGCTGCGACCTTTGTAAAGGTAGTAGATCCGGAAGACATCAAAATTTGACGGATTCTATTATTGAACTTTTCTACTTCATCCTGACTGACCTGAAGAAAAGCCTTTGCAGTCCTTTCTTTACTTTCTTGGTCTATCAAATCCCATACACCTTCCTGTGATGATGATTCGTCACGAATACGGCATTTTGGCAAAATTCTTACCTCAAATCCACACATAGAGAACAATAAGTTAGGGTTCTCTCTTGAATACACTGAAGCAAATGTATCTTCCCATTCAATTGTTGTCAAAGATCTTGGAATACGACCAGCAATCTCCCAAAATACCGCTCTTCCAAGGTTAACATCATGTCTCATTAATCTCATTCTTGAATCTCTAGGCCAGCAACGACGATTATTATACCCAACCACATTTTCAAAGTTGGGATCAGGATTTTCCGAAAGATACTCTTGTATCAAGCTATTTGCATCTTCATTATCAAACCTAAAGAAGATATGAATCTTGTCAATATAACGAGAATATAACCTAATTGGACTTGATGTCTCAGTTTCAACATCTTTAAATTGAAGAAATCCATTCGGAAGTTGAGGAGGTCCGGCCAATTCGCTAGCTCTATCTAATCCTAGAATCAAAAGATCAATCACTAAACCATAATACTGATAAACAAACGATGAGAATTGCAAACCACGAATTAACCCATACTGATTAACATGGTTCATGTCTTTATAGGTCAAGCTAACATTGTTCTTCGACGTAATATAATCCGCGATATTAGGATCCACTATCAACCTCAATAACCTATTCAACAAGGTGAAATCAATCTTTTCCGCCATTTTGCTTAATGAAGTTTCTAACATAACGTTACATTCACCATTAGAAGTTTCCCAAACATTCTCCAAATTGTTGATTCCCTGACACCATTTGTAAGTAAGTAATGGAGGAATCTCATCATCACTTGGTTTAATCCAATTTGGGAAAAGCTTTCTTTTATCAGCTTCATACCATAAATATTGATCAAGGTAAGCATCTGTAATTTTTTCAAGTGGATCTATAGCATATGTTGGCACTAAATGACTGTAGTAATCCATCATTTCTAAACCAACCTCTTTAAATACTCTCTGAGTTAATAAGAACTTTTTTATTCTTGCAAGACATTCGTGTGGGTTGTCATAAGCCTGTTCAATCAATGCCAATTCTTCTCTTTGAGCTGAGTTCATACGAGCATTAGCATTGTAACTTTCTTTCAAATTTTCCAACGCTAATACTAATAATTTAGTATCATGCTTATAAGATATAGGTGGAAAAGGAATTGGACTGAATTTCCTACTTTCCAACCAATGTACCATCGTTTGGAATGTCGTGATTGCATGATCAGGGGATACATATGGCCCATCCTTGGCAAAGTTAGTTTGTCGCTCCTGTTCATTCTTAATCCATAATCTTGTCAAACGTCCTAAATTTTTCTTAGCGACTGTTTTTTCGACAGTCGCCCCTCTTCTAATGCGGTCTCTGTTATAATGCGCTACAGAAATCCACCCATCTGCCTTGGCTTTGATATATCTTATGATGATTTTCTCTATGGGCTCGGGTAATCCTGGGACCTTCCATGGAATGTTAGCCTTCCAACATCTCCATGCTTCACTTAAATGTTGTAAAACTGTTCGTGATTTATTTTGCTTCAATCCTTCAGGAATCATATCTAATATGTCATGCATGACTTGGGCTCTTAATTCCAAGTCATAATATGAATCAACACGTTGCTTTGTAATTGTTTTAGCAACATCATTGCTCCTTCTACCTTCAAACTGTCTTGCCAATAAATTTCCAAGCCATCTTTCTAATAGAGGTATTATTCCTCGCATGAAAAATAACCAAACTCTCCATGCGGGTTGCCAAAATCCACAGCCAGGTCCTTTACCAATAATAGAATTAAATCTTGAATAAACAACGTGCTTTAAATCTTTGCATGCTCTTATCTGATGCATTACTTTATACTTATAACGATAAATCCCGGTTAATTGCCCCAAGTGATTCAAGATATAATATATACCATCTGCTAATTGAAATGCATCCACATTCCCTAACCTAAATTGGACTTGCGAATCAACCAAAATTTTGACAACCCTTAATATTTCTCTGATTAAATGAAATGCGTTACCAAATCTTGACTTCTTACGCTCCTTCGTAGTCAATGTCTTCGTTGGTTTTAAATTGAAATTATAATCAAGATGTAAATACGTAAGACCTTTCCTGTGTATCAATAGATTAAGCATGTTGAAACCCTGGCGACATACTTGCAAACCTGCTTCTACCCAGTCTATCGTAGTTTGTTGAAAGTATTTAGTAGCTTTCAAGTTTTTCAACAATTTAATTTTCCTTTGGTTACTCATTTTAGAACCAGTCTTATTTCCTTGAGGATTATGTAGTTCATTTAAGATGTATTTTTTTAAAAGTTTCTGATAGGAAACCCGAACTTTAACAGGGTATTCTGTTGGTGGATGCTGTTTATACCAAGGTTTAACAAGAGCAACATCTTCCGCTCTAACCATCCTTCCACTTCTTCGGTTATATGGAAATGGTGCCCACCATAACTGGATTGCTGATGATGTACCTTCTGGGTCTAATGGTAATTTACAATCCCGGTCGTGCGACATGAACGGTTTAAAGTCTATTGGCAAATCAAAACTCATGTCTTCTTTCTTGATATTTTTGTGCTTCTGTTTCAGCTTATGGGGCGTAATTGGATTTAAAGCAGGATCAAAACGAAATGCTGGTAGACCTGTGTCTTCACTCGAATTTTTAATAAAACAATTTAACGGTTCATGATACCAACCAACATAAATCAGTTTTGTGAATGAGTTATATAAAAATGGGAATGCAACTTTATATTCCGATTTTATGGGTATTCTAAAGATAATTCTATCAATTGAATTAAATTCCGTAAAATCTTCTATTTCTGGGTTATTAATTTTGTCTTTATAGAGTGGCTCGAATTTTGGACCCCCAGGAAGAGCAATGTTTAAACTTTTCGATGTGAAAAAAGAAGCCTTGTCAAAAAGATAATAGTAATTTGGATCTGTCACGTCGGGTAACAATGGCGTGGATAATTTATAAAGATTAGCCATAGTTTGCAAATCAAGATTCCATTTTTTATATGATTCTCCATTGACCACCTTTAAATCTTCAATCAATGGCTTTTCATCATAAAACCAGTCAAATACACTCTTGTCTTTAATTTCATTAAGTTCCAATTGAATACCATCTAAAGGTTCTACATCTTCTATGTTCTCCATCCAGTCTAATGGAGGCTCTTCATCATCAAAAGGTGGAAACCTCATCCTTTTGAAGTGTTTTCTATCTCTTTTTTCCCTTCGCATCATGATCCAAGCTGTTGCCCATTGTGCTGTGTAAATAGGTTCAATAACTCTAGGAATTTCGTTCACAAATGTTATAGCACCTGTGATGTGATATAAAACTTTGACATCTTTAGTCAGTTCCCATGGTTGAGGCATGTTTTCCAACAATTTAAGAATTGCATGAGGTACGTACTTTAATGACCCTAAATGCGATCTTTTATCTGAGGCAAATGTTTTCGACGATAGGTCGCCGTGGTCGAACATGATCTTTCGCAAGTGTTCAGGTGGCATGTCAACTTTGGTAGGATGAACCAAACCTCCCGATTTCTTACTATTCGATTTTACTGTTGCCGAATATCTATTTTTTTGAATTTGTAACCATCTCTTTTTTCTGGCCTGTAATTCATCTTTCGTTACTATCGCGGCCGATGACCTTTTGATGTTAGCTTTGGCCGATGCTATACCTGGCGGAGGAGGTGGTGGCGGTTGTCTTTTTATCCTTGAATTAGATGAAACCGAATTTGAAGGAGGTGGTGGAGGTCTAGCTCTTGAATTGTTCATGCCTGGCGGAGGTGGAGGTGGTTGATGTGAAGTCTTTCTATTTACATTATTATTTGGCTTATTATTACTAATATTGTTCAGACGCTTATCCGGACCGCCTGAAGGAGGGGGAGGAGGCGGTAGTTTAGGTCCCATTTTATATATGTATAATGATAGATAGACTCTTCGACTTTTCAATAATCAGCTGTAAACTATTCTTATACAAGGTGTATTTTTGAAGAAGATATAATACTCTGCACATCGCAAAATGTCGTTTTGGAAAGTGCGACATTACTAATCGTGTGTCTCTCCTCTATAGGATTTCCCGATCATGGCTAGTACGGAGTAACGACAAAGGCCTTCAGATTGTTGTTAATTCATAGCATTTTATGACGTAGTATATTTGAAAGAGTAATAAATGTCAAATAATACTATATTGAAGAACACAACATCCGCATCTATTGATTCCAATGAGGATCAGGATGATGAGTGGTTTCTTGCCAAATTAATCATAGCATTCATTGATGCAATCTGGGAACAAAGTGAGACTTCGTCTCAGAATCGCATACTGTGGGATAGATTTGGAGGTGTAGCAACATACTGCTGCTCAATATACGGTGTTTCGTGTTTGGTCATGGCATTAATATTAAATCGAACATTGGTAATGGCCTCCACAAATTCATCACGGAACCAGCAATCGGCAATAAGTAGACAAAGGGGTATCCTTAACACACCAAAACTGGCTGAGCTTCTAAAGAACATGAGTATGGTGAGTTTCAAGTTATTTGCAGTAGGATTATTGTTGTACAATTGTTACTATTTGTTGGTTGCGTTGAATCTTTACTATCATACTGGCCTAACGGTAAATGATTCTTTACCTTGGTACCATGTATTGGTACCAGATAACCTCTTTGAATACGATCCTGATGTGTTTAATTCAAATAGATATATGGCAACACCAAAAGATCAAGTTAATATTGGTCCAACTACTGATATGTATTGGCCAGTTTTCCTTGGATTCTGTTTTCTGCTGTTCATAGAAACATTTGTGTCAGTAGTCCAAGGTAAGCAGCCTTATACTGAATCAGGAATCACCATTTTCGAGCATTCTTTAGCGTTCCAAGAGGTTAGTTCAACTGGATTCTTCGGTAGTTCTCGTCTTTACAAAAGGCCTACTGAACAGGTTTTAATGGCTTGCATTTTCCTGACAATGAACCATATTAATATACATATTGGAGGGCTATTATACAATAATAGATACAGACTTATCCCGCTGACAATAATCGGATTGGCATTTTTGACATATTTCGTATCATGCTTTACAAATGGAAACATATGGAAATTTCCAACGATTATTATTATGTCTTTTGTGCCTCAAGTCCTTATCATGCTGATAATTTTCGTATCCGTATTTATATTTTCGATGGCTGTACTAGCAAAGGGGTTCCAATTACAAGATTTAAATTATGCTAGCTTTTTACTTTATGAAAATCACGAAAGCGATACAGAATTCAGAACAAGAAATTTAAACATCGGGTTGCAGGATGATTTCTATACTGCATTGTTAAATCTTGGTATGTTAGCAATTACACTGGCCGGTAAATCAAGCTATATTACAGAGCTTAGTCTTGTAACGGTTGATGAAGACACATGGTTAGAAAGAAGCATTTGGCAAAAGCTCAAATACCAAGTAAAATCAGTTGCAAACTTACAAACTAAGACAAACACAAACAGTGTAATGGATTACTTGAAAAAGAATAATATTTCCGGATATGGAAATATGATAATGACTCCTTCAAAACGTTTGATTTCAGGCGAAAGGACAGATGTATTCCACGATGATTCTACCGATTTAAAAAATTCCAAATCTATCAGCGTATTGCGTAAGAGGATTCTTTTTCTTAAAGAAATCTTTTCTGATCTTATGCAATTATTATATGGATTGATCATTGATTCCTTTTTGTTAAATTATGTACCTAAAATATTCAGTCATTATGTTTTACGTCGTCCGATTAGTGAAAATAGGAATATACTGGAAACGGATGAAGATTTTGAAATAAGGAAAAGAAAGGCCCCTGCATTTTTACGCCCGTACATAAGAAGGAATGTAAGGAATCCTAAGAAAGTTACTTCACTTAGAAAAGAAGTGACACCAAGCGAACAATCGGTGGATTTGAACGATTACACCGAAGAACAGTTGGCTCAAGACTATATATCTTTATTACTTGAGAAGGAGTTACCTGATGTTGATGATTCAGAGGACTACTACCAAACTAATTATTATGAACTGGACCTAGACGAAGAGTCTGATATTGAGTCCATATACTTGTCATCAACCACGTCACTGAGAAATCAGTTGATGGATGATGCTTCTCATACATTGATTGATGAATTGTTATCTCCTGAAGAGTTCCAAAATTTAATGAGTTCCGCTAATGTTGATATCTTACAACGCCACTTGAATCATGACTCACGGGCAAATGGTATATTAACTAGGTCTAGATTCAATGCACTCAACTCGGGTCTCACTACACAAGAGAATAATTTATCTAGCCAAGATGAAATATCAAAACTATTGGAATTGATATTAAATAAAAGAAAAGCTCAGATTTATGATTTATCATCTGATGGATCTAACAACAATACTGAAGACTACGATCTAAATTCAAAATTAGATTGTGTTATTTGTCAAACTAATGTCAGAGAAATCATTACATGGCCTTGCAAATGTTTCGCTATTTGTGAATCTTGCCGTTTGAGTTTAATTTCTAAAGGCATTGAAGGCTGTGTTTGCTGTCGTAGAGATGTCGAAGGTGTATCTAAAGTATTTATACCGTGACTCTTGCCCCTTATATATATAACGTTCATATCATCTGTATATGTTAAATACATATAAACTACCATATGTGCTCATAACCACACAAAAGTTTTTGGCCAAATTAATTAATCCCTAAAAAAATGTAATTGATAAAGATAATTATATAATAACCAATCACGACTAGATGTTCTAGCTATTAAGATACGGGTTCATGTTATTCAATTCTTAATTAATTTACAAATTGCAAATTAAAAACGGAACCGTTTTCTAAAATATTTAGTATGAGTCTTCAACCGAATATCGACCATGCTACAATAACAAGCCGACTTAACGGTCACCACCAAAATGCTAACACAATATCACATCTATCCCAAGAAACACCATTACCGTTTAAAAAATACACAAAGAAGAGATCATGGGTCTGGGATTGGTTTGAAAAAATCCCGATAATAAATATAGGGCCGTTTGTTTATACTGCCATCAGGAAATATTCCGATTAGATGGGGATAGGGGATCACCAAAGAAGTTAATCACGCATGTAAATTCAAAACATGGAATTAATAAAGACAATTTTGCAGGCGAAGGGTTGTTTAAAATAAGGTTGGAAAAATTAAAAACGTACGTCAATACTTTTGGACCCTTGGTTACAAATCGAGGTGATGCTATTGTGTACGGAATAATGAATCTGGGCATTCAAAATATGACTGCAGTCCCAAATACATCGCCTATTATTTCTGGTCCGAGTGCTGCAAGTGTAAGTCCACCGCAACAGAATAGCATTCCATCAGAACCCATTGGAGTGATTGTGGGGGAGACTCGACCACAGCTACCAGTAATTACAAAATCTACAAACCACGATATACAGCCTCAAGCTTTCCCTACTCCACCATCAACCGAAACAACCAATGTACCACGCGCCGAATCGAGGGAACCTCCTATGTATCTTAATGTAATTGACCCTTCGCTCAGCTCAAGTTTCTATGAAAGGCAAACAGATTTAAATTCCAATAGCGTGTTCCATAAATCGAAGAAACAGGAAGAAATTGAAAAATATAATAATTTAATCGTTAATCACAATAGACAAGTTGAGGAATACAACAAAGCTGCTGTCATCGAAAATGACAGAAATATGCCAAGTGAAGGTTCATCGAGCGGTTCAGAGCTGCACCGAACTCTGGAGAACTATAAATTTAAGCCGCAGAAACTGTTCATACCGTTGGAAACTGATCATGAAGCACTTGAAGGTAACAAATGTAAAGATGCCCTACGAGAGTTTATTATAAATAATTCTGCATCATTTAATAATGTACTATTTATTGAAAGCGAGAGTTTCAAGCAGTTTGTTAATATTTTACGAGAACACCCAAATGATCCTATATAGAAATCACGTAACTTATTATGTATATATAGAACCATATCTCATACTCTCCATATTATAGAAGACCGAAATGGAATTTCTATTTATTCATTTTTCACTACGCCAATGAAGATATTGTCTTTTGATCAAATTAGTTCATACTTACCCCATTTTGGCCTTAAATACTTCTTCGTTGAACTCTAGAGGGCATTTAGGGAATTGAATAGTTTCCTCGTATGTGGCCCAATTCCCTCGGGCAACTCGTCAAATCTTGATAACCCGATTTCATACAAAGAACACCTTTTAATGTTTCAGGCTTGGTATATCAAGATGAAAAAACAAAAACCGGTAATATTTGGTTCAAAAGTGATATCATTGACGAAGATCCAATTATAATGAATGACTGGTATTCTTGGATATATTTTGAATCCCTAAAGAGAACGTTATTATTTGCCTTGGCCAAGTCTTGATTTGAAGTTTACTTACCAGCTACATTGTATTTCGTTCGTTCTCTGTTTTACTTAAATTTTATCTCAGTTTATGTTTACGTTCGTAAATAGTATTTTTATGTAATTGAATTTCCTCTACTATCAGAAGAGAACTCTACTTGAACCGTATTTAACATCATTAGCCGTGTTATAGTACAGTGATTTGCATATCAAATTGACGCAAGCTAGAGTATATTATACGTATTAGAGAGACACGAAGATGATTAAATTATTCATTGAAAGCATTATCTTGTATCAGCACCCTACAAGAGCGCTCCAAGCATGTCCCATGAAGCCTCTTGTTACTTGTTTTGTCCGTACCAAGACTCTCTATATAATAGGAGAGTGCTAGTGTTAAGATTATGTAATCATTTTACAAACGATACGCGAAACGTCCAATATTCTTTTCTAGGTACTAGTTGATGAGAACTAAGCTTACATGAATATTTCGTCTGCATTCCTTATTATACAATCGTAGGGTTAAAAAGAAGTTATCACGAACATTAGTGAAGAAAGATACAAACATTCCATTTGATTGTTGCTATATTATATTTTCGTTGTTAGTATAACTGCAATTTCTACTTTATACAAGACACTTAAGATGCCTTCAGCCGAGACTATAGTTACCACTACCACAATCAAAACAGCAACAGCTATTACCACATTAGCACCTACACTTGAAGGATTGACAGCGGCTTTATCGCAAAATTTTGTTCACTATTTAAACTATTTGGATAGACTACCAGGTGGACAGATTATTTTAAGGTACATTAAATCTTCATATAAGAATGACCCAGTTAGGTCATTGTTTGAGTTAGCACTCTTTATATTTGCAGTCCATTACTTTCTTTCATCGAAGAAAAAGGAAAATAAATCTGACTTGACTGTATTCAGCGAAAAAGAAATTGACGCTTTATGTAAAGACTGGGAACCAGAACCTTTAGTTGAAGACCTTTCGCCGTTGGAAAAATGGGAATTGAAGTCTATACCTGAAATAAAAGGACATAATGGATCGCATGTGCAGTTGTTGAACGGGAAAGGCTCTTCTTTGGGTAAAGTCGTCAATTTAGCATCATATGATTTTTTGAACTTAAATGAATGTGATAGCATTAAATCAGCGGCAAAGGAATGCATCTCTGCCGCGGGGGTAGGTGCCTGTGGGCCACCAAATTTCTACGGAACACAAGACGTTCACGTCAGATTGGAAGAAGACTTATCCGAGTACTTAGGGACTGAGCAGGCTATATTATACGGACAAGATTTCGTTACAGCCGGGTCTGTTATTCCAGCTTACTTGAAGAGAGGTGATTTATGTATTGTGGATAGCGGTGTCAATTTGGCTATTCAAAAAGCTTTGATTGTAAGTCGTTGTGATCTTGAATGGTATGATCACAATGATATGGATCATTTAGAACAAATTTTAAAGGAAATCAAACCTGTCATAGAGAAACAGAAACCGATTCGTAGAAGATTCATTGTTACCGAGGCTTTATTCGCAAACACTGGTGATTTAGCCTTATTGCCAAAAATTATTGAGTTAAAGAACAAATATAAATACCGTTTATTTTTGGATGAATCATTGTCTATTGGTGTTTTAGGTGCGACTGGTAAAGGTCTTGTAGAACATTATGGAGTTCCAAGATCAGAAATCTCTATTACCATTGGTTCCATGGCTTTGTCCTTTGCTTCATCGGGTGGTTTCTGTGTTGGTGTTACTCCAATGATTCAACATCAAAGAATCTCATCCAATGCTTATGTTTTCAGTGCTGCATTACCGCCATATTCTGCTAGGGTCAGCTCTGAGGCAATTAAAGAGATCACCACAAAGTTAGATTCCACTGGAAAATCTAAACTCATGAAGACTTTGCAAGATAAAGTTCTGTACGTATATCAACAATTAGAGCAACACATTCCATCGTCATTTTTCACAGTAACATCTGCTCCATTTTCCCCAATCATTCATTTGGGATTAAGCCTGGAATATAGAAAGAGCTTGAATTTGCCTCCATTTTACGGTAATACCGATTTGTTACTCACAGGCAAACAGTCAAAGAAATTGAATGAATTCAACCATAAGCTTAATGCTGAATCGTTCATACTACAAAAGATCATTGATCAATGCTTAACACATGCTGCTGTATTGTTGACTAGATCCAAACATATTTTGGAACATGAGAACCTACCAGTACCAAGCCCACATCTACAATTTATGGTTAATGTAGGTGTGTCAACTGAAGAATTTGATAGAGCTATTTACGCCTTGAAAATTGCCATGAGAGAGATTTGCTCCAAAATCCGTAACGAGAATGATTTGCTTATCTTAGAAAATGAAATCATTAATTATTGATTCTATGGCTTCATATTAAAATATATATATCCTTTGTTTACAATTTTTTGAAGATGTGTCTTAATTCATCTCGCGACACATAAATTCAAAATCTTATTTATCGATACATCATTATAATAATTACGTATATTCTGTTTATTTCAGCATTCT